TTCTGGGGCCCTCAACACAAAAAGGATATACAGTTGTTGGAACAGGTCCAGAGGAGGGCTACAAAGGTGATCAGAGGCATGAAGCACCTCCCCTATGAGGAAAGGCTATAAAGGCTATAAAGGAAAGCCTATAAAGGCTGTTGATGTGGTCTACCTAGACTTCAGCAAAGCCTTTGACACTGTCTCCCACAGCATTCTCCTGCAGAAGCTGGCAGCCAGAGGCTTGGATGGGTACACTCTTGGCTGGGTAAGGAGCTGGCTGGAGGGCCGGGCACAGAGAGTGGTGGTGAATGGAGTTAAATCCAGCTGGCGACCGGTCGTGAGTGGTGTTCCGCAGGGGTCGGTGCTGGGGCCTGTCCTCTTCAATATCTTTATTGATGACCTCGATGAGGGCATCGAGTGCACCCTCAGTAAATTCGCAGATGACACCAAATTGGCTGGAAGTGTGGATCTGCCTGGGGGTAGCGAGGCCCTACAGAGGGATCTGGACAGGCTGGAGAGCTGGGCTGGAGCCAATGGGATGAGTTTCAACAAGGCCAAATGCCGGGTCCTGCACTTCGGCCACAACAACCCCAGGCGACGCTACAGGCTTGGGGCGGTGTGGCTGGAGGACTGCGTAGAGGAAATGGACCTGGGGGTATTGATTGATGCTCGGCTGAACATGAGCCGACAGTGTGCCCAGGTGGCCAAGAAGGCCAATGGCATCCTGGCTTGCATCAGAAACAGTGTTGCAAGCAGGAGCAGAGAGGTGATTGTTCCCCTATATTCAGCACTCGTGAGGCCGCACCTCGAGTACTGTGTCCAGTTTTGGGCCCCTCACTGCAAGAAAGATATTGAGGCCCTGGAACGTGTTCAAAGAAGGGCAACAAAGCTGGTGAGGGGTCTGGAACACAGGCCATATGAGGAGAGGCTGAAGGAGCTGGGAATGTTCAGCCTGGAGAAGAGGAGGCTCAGGGGAGACCTTATTGCTCTCTATAACTTCCTGAAGGGAGGTTGTAGTGAGCTGGGGGTCGGCCTCTTCTCTCGTGTCATTAGTGATAGGACCAGGGGGAATGGTTTCAAGCTACGGCAGAGGAGATTCAGGCTGGACATGAGGAAGTATTACTTTTCAGAAAGGGTGGTCAGGCACTGGAATGGACTGCCCAGGGAGGTGGTGGAATCACCGACCCTGGGGGTGTTCAAGGAAAGGCTGGATGTTGTGTTGAGGGACATGGTTTAGTAGGAGCTATTGGGAATAGGTGAACGGTTGGACTGGGTGATCTTTTAGGTCTTTTCCAACCTTAGTGATTCTATGATTCTATGATTCTATGAAAGGCTGAGAGAGCTGGGGCTCTTCAGACTGGAGAAGGCTCTGGGGGACCTTATAGCAGCCTTCCAGTACCTGGAAGGGGCCTATAGTAAAGCCAGGGTGGGACTTTTTATAAGGGCATGTAGTGACAGGATGATGGGAAATCATTTTTAACTGGAAGAGGGTAGATTTAGATTAGATATCAGGAAGAGATTCTTTACTGTGAGGGTGATGAGACACTGGAACAGGTTGCCCAGCGAGGCCATGGGTGCCCCCTCCTTTAAAACATTAAAGGCCAGGCTGGATGGAGCTTTGAGCAACCTGGTCTAGATCGAGGTGTCCCTGCCTATAGCAGGGGATTGGAACTAGTTGGTCTTAAAGGTCCTTCCACCCCAAACCATTCAGTGATTCTATGAATTGATTCATATACACAATTAAGTGCCTAGGTTTCAAAAACGAGGCCATTAAATCTGATTTATTAAAAATTATTCTTGACAGATTGAGTCCTCTGATCTTCAGTTGTTTCTAATTCTGCCAAACGTAGGCCAAATTATTACAATAATTTGTAACTGGATTTTGAGATGTTCTAGTATAAATCAAAGAACACAGATGTGGTATTAGTGTTATTTTACAGGAGACAGTTGTTTTAGTGATGCATGCCCACGGATGAATGGGCAAAACAATCCTTGCCAAATATACAAGGATATATAAATACATATAAATATATAAAAATAACTCAAATAGATACCAAAATTACATTGCAAATTGATGAGAAATAGAAATTATTTTTGTTAGTGACTGGCATTAAAGAATGAGAAAATATTTCTGAAGCACAAGAAGTGGTAAATAATCTGAGTAAAAATACTGAAAGGGACAAAATATTTCCCAACTGGAAGGACAGTTGTCCACTCCAGTCTTTATATGTAACATAAAAATTACAGCAGTTAAACAGTGAGGTCCTAAACAAAATGGTCCAAGACAGAATTAGGGAGCACAAACACCAAAAGAGGAAAAGGCCTTTCATGGACCCTTCTAGACAATGCTTTTCACATTTGTCAATCAAAGTGAAAGAAAGAGAACTAGAAATATTTATAGAAAGAGATGCAAGTATTAATCTATCTTTTTTTCTTTTGATATAATGTATTTTATCTCTTGAAGACTAACATTCTTTTTTAACAAGTCTTACACTTCAGAAACAGAAAATCTTGAAGGAGAGAGTGACCAGGGGAGATGGTCTGACTGTGATAATGTGGGAAGAAATACTGAGATGACAGGAGGTAGGTCAATTGTGTGAATGGAATGTAGTTACAATATGCATATTCTATACAACATGTAATGATGCTGAACACAAGCAGTAGGCAACAAAGCAGAATAATTTAGTACCTTTATGAAGAAAGTACAGTGGTTTGAAAGTTGCTAAGTTACATTAACTTATGCAAGTACAGCAAAAGTGAAACCAACTAAAAAGCACATACTTGCCTTCAGTAAATTTTACCCATTAACTTGAGATTTTCAGATTTCAAAACTAAAAAGAAACAAAAGTATAGGCCACAAAAAAGAAAAAATAGTATGTCCCATATCATATCCTCAGAAACAAGAATGAGTTTGTTTGTTTAAAGCTCAAAATCACACAAATCAACAACTTTGTCTTATAATCTTATAAATTTTTAATTACCACTTAGGGTCTATGAAGATGATTATGAAAGTTCTCCTTAGATGAATTTTGAAAACATACAATTAATGCCCAGACTTACGCTTCAAAAGCTTCAAGTATTTTCTGTATCTAGCAATAATTTTCCTAAATAAGGGGAAAGGATGAGTTGTAGGCTGACACGTGAGCAGGAATGGGAGATGGTAGGCACTAACACTGGAAAAAAAGAAAATACAAAACAAGATTAAAAAAAATACATGCATGTGAAAAACTGCGTAGTTTTATAGTCTTGGGCCTTGTCAGCTTTCCATTTTAGAGGTTTGTCATTAAAACTTTAAGAGAACCAGCAAGCCTTCGTGGCTGTATTGAAGTACTAAACATATTTCAGTTTACATCAGTTCTTTTCAAAAACCTTAGCACAGTTGTCGTTTTGACGTTAACGTCAAAAATCTCCTCTGCAACTGGGGCTAACATTTTCATTTTAGACTGTGACATCCAACATTTTGCAACTTCTTACTACTGAAAACTGTCAAAAGTTATTAGATGCCTCCCCCAGAGTTCTCAAGGTATATCACAGTTCCTTGCCTTATCTAATTCACTGGAACAAGAAACAAAATCTGTTCACATGTGAAATTGTTACATTGCTGGAAAGAAAAACAAAACAAAACACAGGGCCCATGACTTTTCTCCCACCTCCAAGTAAGCAAATCAACTATAAAAACTATTATAGCATTATAGCAAAATTCACAGTACACTGACCTAAAAATCACAGCTAGTACCTAGTAGTCTGGAGAGCCAAACAGCTCACTAATATTTGTAGATGTTTCTGAAGTCTGAAATTAGATGGCTGTTTAAGAGAAATTGTGGAGAAAAGTCTTTTCTAAAACAAGGAGAATCCATTTTCAAATCCAAGCTTCCAACTGGCAACTGCTCTTGACCAGACAAGATCTGAAGAAAACAGAAGCAGCTCAGAGTCCAAAACAGTATTTCTTCCTAAAAAGAGAAAAAACTGCTGACCACAGAACACAATAGAACTAGAAGACTGTTGTAGGCAGAGCTTCCCAATTAACTCAGTTTCTCGCTGAAGGAATTCCACCTCCACATTTGTCAGTCTCAACAGAACATTCATAAATCCAGAGATCCCCTGGATCTATGAATGCTAACATAACAAAAAAGGGTAACTTGCTCAGTATCTGAAGCTCAGTATCTGAAGTGGTGAAGCAAAAGAGATCTCCTTCATGTCTCTTTCACGTCTCTTTCACAAGGTTTACACATAACAGGACCCACTTGTTCTCATGTCCTCTTCTGCAGGCACTCATGGATTTCTTCCACTGTTGCTCCCTACTTTACCAGAGCAGCAGACAAAAGACAACTAGAACTTTGATAGCAGAGGTAAAGTTTACTAAGCAGAGGGCCAAGCTGCTTGTTCTGTGTGGATTTCATAGCAAGTTATGTAGAGAATGTAGCAAATACATATTTTAGAAGCAAAAAGAAAGGGAATGTCTGTCTGCTACGGACTGTGAAAGAAATGAGACAGTGTGATGAAGTTCAACAGTTAGTAAAAATCAGGAAAAAACATCTTGAAAACATTATTTAAGAAACAAATAGTTCCATAAGCTCTAATTTTAGTCAAAATATTAACTTCTGAAATTAAAACCGAAGTATGGAATTTGAACAGCAAATTCTAACTACTCAGCAGATCAGACTGGGCAGTAACAGGGATTCCAAATGGCACTGTACTCTGTGCAGGTGGGTAAGAAAATAGAAGATGCACAAGGACATACAATGCATACAGTTCACAGTTCAATTGATATAAAGTTCTTCTAATAATCCAGATGCATAAAACCAAAAGATTAAGCAAAGGCAGCTATTTCAAACAGCAGATCACAACAAATCTGTAAATTAGGAACTCCCAGTATTCTGCCAAGAAAAGTGTCAGCACTCTTTAAAGTAATTTTAGATGATACAACCTAAGAAGTTGTCTAATATGGTCAGCTCTTAAGATAGAAGACAAGAAGACAAAACAGCCTGCAAGACAGAAATGTCACTACTACACACATACACGATACAAAGGAAATTTTATTGTATGCACTCTGAACAAAGACTTCATACAGAGAAGCCAGTAACAGAAATAACACAGGGTTTATTTATACACAGAAGTTAGACTACACATTAGCATATCCCTCTAAAAAAGTCCTTTTTTTTTGTGAAGACAACTCCCTCATATTACAAGCATCTAACAGGCAGCCTGCAGTGTACTTAGAATAAGACAAAGCTTCACAAATAAAAGTTTCTCCACAGATGCAAAATAAACTGAAATATTATTTGCATATGAAATATGGAGTTGTATTAACCAAACTGCAAAGAAAACCAGAGGAAACCATACTACAGTGTTAGCTACCATCAGCTGTATAGAATCAGCTATATATAATACACTCCAATCAAAAGTTTACACTGTTTCATTATTTACACTCAGGTACAGAGACAGCACACACCACAGCTGCCACACCAATAATTACATTTCTTTCACACATTTATTTCCTTTATTTCCCAGATTTAAGACACAACGTCCCCCAATAACAAGATACTTTTTTTGGTTGTGTGCTTCTCATAAAGCATCAGATTCACAAGTTCAGCTGCTGGGAAACTAAGAGGCAATTTCACATGCCTACAATCCAAACTTCAACAGCATAAGACAGAGACGTTCTAGAACACATTACAGCCGTTTCACAAAGCAGCACTGCCACTTACACACAGTACCAAGTTTCAGCAGAAGTCTCCCTCCATCAGTTAAATATGAGGTCTCACTTTCCACACTGATACTTGCTTAACTTTGTCAGTTCTTACAAGGCTAGAATTTGCACTTGTCTTCAGGCTGCAACGTCCAATCTAGGAAAAACAGGGGCAGCATTAGGTAAAATTGTACCAAAGACAACCAAATGAGAAGACGTTTACAATAAAGAGAGTTTAAAGATGTTCTGTACTCCTAACCTAGGAAAATAAGATAGTAAACCTGTGAAATTACTTCAAGCGCGTTTATTCTTCAGAACACTCATGGGTGAACAATTAGAATAAGCATATTCATCATACTAATCTTGCAGTTAAGCCTCTACTTTAACCAAAATAACCCGTCTTTCTTTATCTACATGCTAGCACTCCAGTCGCTCTTCCACGGCTTTATAAATTCAGCTGCTAGATCTGGAGCAACAGGTGATCCATAAATAAGCTCTTCCTGGATCTCACTTCTGTTTTCCCATCTAGAATCAGGTATGCTAGCCATGCAATGCAGTGGTGTACAATATAAGCCTGGCTGTTTTGTTTAAACAAGTTTCTAGCTGTCTGTATTTTTTCACGTGTTCTGCAACAACATTCAGGATCTTTAGTCAGAATAAAGACGCAGCGTTTGTAGAAATGATGCTACCACAAGAGAACCACAAGAGAAATGCTAAACCCAAATCTTTCATTTTCATCTTTGAACACACAGCAAGTTTAGGCAGACCTCTTGTAAAATTAGTTAATTAATAGGCTTACTAAATACACAGTTTCTACACACGAATAACTACTAATTACCATCAAGCAAATGTCCATACCTCAGTAAGCCACATGCTACATCTTTCAAGATATGAAAAACGTATATAAAAACATACCACTGGGATTTCTGGACTGGAAAATGGGGAGCTATCGAAAGATCTGTTTTCTTTGTCCAGTGAATCATCCTCATCTTCATACTTATGTGCAAATTTCTGTTTTAGTGCATGAGTTAGTAGAGCAACTGGATCCCAATCTGAGCTTCTCCTTTTTTTTGGTTTAGACACAGGAGTACCTCCAGGTGACCTATAAAGAAAATGTATTATTACCTGTCCATAATTATGTGCTTTGCTATCTAAAATCCCAAGACACGACTTTCATATACTCCCTGTCCTATCCTAGGTCACACAAATAATGCTGCTCACATTATTTTCAGCAATTCACCAAATAAGACTACTAACAGTACACTTAGGAACTTGTCAGCCAGACTGTTAGCTCAAAAATGCTGCTCCTTAAAGAAAAGTGGCAGTAAATCAAGTGGTAAGGTAATGGATTAAAAGAAAAAAATAAAAGAATGGTTTTTATAACAGGCTACATTTCAGAGCTATTTTTAAGCATATTAGTGGAAAATGCCTAGTATGTTGAAAAAAGTTACAAAATATTTTGATACAAACTTCAGTAAGAAGTATAGAGAAAAAAGAGAGAACTTACATAATTTCTCAGAGCAATCATATTTAAAGAAAAACACCACTTCCTTTAAGTAAATATGCATCCAGATGAAAATAAAGTCCCATTTATAAACCACACTTGAACTCACTTCAAGCATTACCACTCCCACCAGGGAGGTGGTGGAGTCACGGACCCAGGAGGTACTCAAGAAACATTTAGATGTTGCACTGAGGGACATGGTTTAGCGAAAAATATTGGTGACAGCTGGATGGTTGGACTGGATGATCTTAGAGGTCATTTCCAGCCTTGGTGATTCTATGATTATCTAAGGAAATTTATCAAATTTGGCACAAAGGCTTCTAAGAGATTTTCCATATAAGCAAGCACCTAAGCATCCAAACATGAAATGTTTATAGTCAAAAATTAGACAAGTTGTTCTCATCAAATCCAAAATTGAAAGATGGCAAAAAGACACCAGATCTAAAGAGCACCTAGCACCCCAGTGTCAACATAAATATGGAAATTAGTGACTAGTTCAATAAATTAAGTCATAAGAGGCCATGCTAACTACTGAGATATTTGAAACAAATCTATAACTCACACTTTTGCCTAGTGAAGCGCTATTTCACAGAATCACAGAATTGTAGGGGTTGGAAGGGACCTCTAGAGATCAATTATTTCCAGATAAATGAATTGTTCCTAAAGCACACTGACAGCAATGAGCTCAAACTCTGACAGTTACAGACGATGTGATTTAACATGAAACATGGAAGGACAGAGTTCACCCTTCATATACAATCAAGCTGTTGGAGCACTTGCCCACTGTGTAAGGTGGTGCTCAGGTGGTAGAAGCAGGGACCCCTCAAGTTCTGGAGAACAAAGGCCTTCTCTTCCCTCTAAATTGCTGCCAGGTTGCTGCCTGACAGGCTGGACAACAACGTAAGCCCAAAGGTAGGAGGAAGGACCGCAGATATAAATTTCTTGTTAAGTTCTATCTCCAGAATTCAAGTAGATGCCTAAATCCAGGAGCACTTCAGATACACAACTATCAGTTCCTCTATGCCCCTGCCCAACATGATCATTCAAACTGTAATTATAAACATTTCACTTCTCACTTCCTTCCTTCATGCTATGTGAAATTATATAGAAGAAAACAAGGGCTGCCCTGAACGTAATTGCCTCCTATTTTATGCAACCGGCCCACAGTGGGGATTGCTGGCAGTATGGCAATAGAGCTTGAACTTTACTGCCAATATTCTCTTATTCATTAGATATCCTATTGTTCTTGCATACCATTATTTTTAAACTCCAAAAGTTCAGAAAAGACATCCAACAACCTTTATCACATCTAACAAAGCAGACCAACACTGACACAAAGACACGTTACAAGCTTTAGTAAACAAATTTTGTAACCTGTCAACAGAGCTTAAAATCAAAATAGTAGACCATGAAAAGTATTATAACACAACTGCACTATTTAAATTCATGAAGCATCTTCAATAAGTCACAGAATGCATTTAACAGTTCAAAGGAAAGATTATATTTTATATAATATTTTTGGTTAAGTTAGTTCCCAGTGTTTCCCAAAAGAGACATCCTTTCACAGTGAGTGTAAGAAGTTTATTCTTCAAAGCACTTTCCAGAACCCTGTATGCAACTTTGTAAGTTATTTTCAAATAGACTCAGTCTTGAAACAAAAGACACCCACACACACCAGAAATCAAACAACCTGAGATTTCTATTCTAACTCAGGACAGTAGTTTTAAAAATTGTGATGTTCAGCATTTTTAAATTGATCTAAAAGCCGCACCATGAGTATCTCACACTTTAGTCCAAGAACTTAAACATTATAAACTTCAGTTTGTCAATAATAGCTGCTTGTTAAATTGATGTTTCATCGTGGTGTTCTCTGCTGCTGCTTTAACTGCTGTGATGACTGCACAGCCTTGGATAATTCAGGCACGCATTCAGTTCAACCTACCTTTCAATAGCACGCAACTGAACTTTGTTTAGATCTTTCAAAACATCCATCATGCTAGGAATGTTCTTCATCCTCTGGGGATCAGCACTATCACCCGTAGTTGAAGCACTGTTTCTTGCAGCACGACGCTGTTTTATAAGTTCAATTGCTGAATTACTAGCATCAACACCAGATGGTGCAGCAGAAGGAAGTGGGGGAGGAGAAGGAATTGCAAAGTGATTGTGAGAGACAGACAATGGCGTAGAAGTCATGGTTGGCACTGGGTAAGATCCATCTGGAATGCTGAATGTTCTAAAGGGTTCTGAATGCAGTCATAAAAGAAAAAGAGGGATTTTATTTTTAACACTCAGTAGTACCTTAGCAATTAACATTAAACCCGAGTCATCCTAGACATTGCTTAAGTCCAGATAAGACGACCCACCCTCTCATAGCACTTCCTTACACAAGTCATGCATCATACCGCAGAAGAAAATAAGTGACAAGAACAATCTTGGTTTTAAACACATAGATTAAGCATACATGAAACAACAGTACTGAGGTGGTTTGGGCTGCTCCAATTTTCTCCATTTATATCTTTGATCTTTGCACTAGATTAATCAGGAACCTGAAGCAGAAAGCACCCTGCAGCTACATACAGTTAATTCTCAATGGTCTGAAGGTTACAATAAACCAAATGAAGCACCAGCAAAGAAAACTACAAAACACATAAAACAGATTACAAAACTGTATGCAGAGCACTAAGGAGAAGTGTCAGCAGAGCTAAGCTGAAAGATAAGAGGCCTCAGAACTGTTCAAGTTCACTTGGCACAGTACTCACTACACAAATGTAAACACATCAGTCCCAATGCTTTGACAGCCACAGTGGAGTTAGCGTACAAGGAAAGCAGGATCTCAAATCAGGAAAAATCAGAAGACTGCAGCTCAGACCAGAGATGAACTATCTTTGATGCTCCAAAGGTGGTTACGTACCTACTTGGAGCACCTGTTTATCTTAAATCCTGAACCTGACTTCCTCAGAATGTTTTTAACCATTTGATGATTTGATAACTTGTCAGAAGCTGTATGTAACTCTTAAAAAAAGTTAAAATTATTATTTTTTAAACAGTAACTGGTGGTTTATTACTAGTGCTGTTACAAAATTCCTTCACAAACATGAAAATGAATGTAGACATCACATAGGATCGACTGCATTTGAAATTGGCAAGAAAGCCACAAAAAGTCAAAGGGTGAAGAGGCTGGGGGAGAAAAATTTTTAAAAAGTAATAAACAAACAAGCCACAGCAGCAACACAACCATCACAAAACAAATACTACGTTCATAAATGTTGTTGGTGCAAGTAACTTCAGGTGAAGAAATTAGAGATGTTTTATATCAATCTCAGAGACATGGCAATCCATGAAGAAGACTCCTAAGGTAGAAAAAAAAACCAGAAAGGCTTACGTGATGGTATGCTTCCCAGTGTCTGTGCTGCAACAACTGCGGCGATCTGAGTACGAAGAAAAGTTAGCTCTTCTTCGAGTGCAGAAATTTTCTGGAGTGCTGCTTGATCAACAAGACTGTCTTTTCGTGTACTGGTTTTTGAAATACTTGGTATGGAATCTATAGATGGATGTAAGTAACGATAAGCTGTACTTTTTTCTTTTCTCCATAATTCAGTCCTAGAAAGGAATAAAAGACAGTTTAAAAGGTTCAGCCAGCAAAAGAAATCTCAAGACTACACACCTGTCCAAGCAAGTTATTACCATTCTGCAAGACATAAAATTCGCAAACTATTTAAGAAAACAAAAAGCTGAAATAACTTAAACAGTATTTTAAATTTCCATCAGTTAAAGTAAGATACAAATCCTTGAACAGTCATAATCAAAATAGATCGTTTACTTGGGGATAAATTAAACGAGACTGCAGTGCAGGACTGAGCTGCTACTATTCCATGACTGTGGTGCCTCTCCCTTTTCCCTGCATGAAACAATAGATACAGAAGGCAGGGAGAGTCAGCAATAATCTCTTCAAAATTACTTCACGCATTTTAGTCATTTATCAAACTCTGCAAGATGAACACTGTAAGCAGCAAAGAACCTGTAATCTTTCAGAAAGTACAACAAAGGATAATTATAAATTATAATACTTGCCAAATAAGAACCTTATCTTTTATAAGCTGTATATGTAACACAAACGCATTAGAGAATTGTGCTACAGCTCTTGTGTTTCAACTTTAAAAGTTATTTCAAGCCAGGCCCTGCAGAAATAACTTTAAATACAGAATGAGCGTAAACTCAAACTAACAGCATTCAAACTAACTGAATTCATTCAATATTCACTGAAACAAAAACAGACCATTCTCCTTACATCCATTATCCTTTTACTTAAAACCACACCTGCAACATTGTTTTCTTATTTGAGAAAATGTTGTTTTTCATACTAGGTCAGAAAGAAGAGATATGCATTGCACCTGACCTTGAAAAACATCCCACAGAGCCAGGAGAGAAGGAGGAAGAACAGAAACAACAGAAAAATGAAGTGTGTTGGATCTGAGTTAGAAGAGCTAAAGAGCAGCACAAGCAAAGATAAAACAGGACACACAGTTCCTTTTCACAATACTCTTACTCTTTTAGTACTTTGCAAGTGCTTCAAAACAACTTTGGTAGTTCAACGGCAACAGATGAAGAACCCAAAGATGAAAAACAAAAAAAATCACAACTTCTGTAGTATAAAGTGTCATTTCAATTTATTAGCATCTTGAAATTTCAATACCAGCAAGCAGTAAACAAAGATAACAGAAAAACAGATGTCAGAAAAGTAGTATAAAGCTCAATTACACTCTAGAATGTAGAGATGGATACAGAAGTATCCACATTTAAATCTTGCTTCTGACTTCTCCTCTGGCTTTGAACATATCCTATATAAGGAACAATAAACCAACTTCCTATTTTTTTCTCTAGAGGGATAGAGAAGGGATGGGGGGAAGACTTGTACACCATCTGTCTGCAAATTTCAGAATAATGTCATCTTATAGTACTTACATTTTCTCAATGTACAAAATTTCCTTCAGCATGTTATTAAAGAACTGCATAGGTGATATTCAAGGTAAATTTTTAAAATATAGAAACACAAAGATTATGGAGCTGTAGTTAGTGTTTGCAGGAAAAAAAATGCCAAAGCTCATCCAGAGTTAAAACGGTTCAGAGATGTCTCAGCAAAAAAAGACTTCTTCAAGTACGTTAAAGGCAAGAGGAGGACTAATGAAAATATTGGACAGCTACTGGATGAAGCCAGATATTTGACAGAGATTATGAAAAGGCTAATATTAATGATAGACCTTGTGTTGCCCAGTCCTATGAGCTGGAAGACCATGACTGCAAATTTCCATTTGTTGACACAAAATTTTAAGGAACCAGTTATATCAGTTAAATGCTTTTAAGCCCATTGAGTTTGGTGGGATTCAGCCAAAAGTATTGAGGAAGTTAGGAGATGTATCAGCTGGGCCCCTCTGTCAGCAACCTTGGGAATACAGGGATGTCTCTACTGACAGGCATCAAGATAACTATACCCCAATTCACAAAAAGGGCACAAAAAACAACCTTGGAAATTACAGACATGTCAGTTTAACTTCAGTGCTTGCAGAAATTTTGGAGATTATCCCAGCACCACTGAAAGACACTTAAAAGATAATGTGATAATCTGGCCCAGCCAATAGGGGTCCACAAAGGAAAAGTCCTGTCTCACTAATTTGATATCCTTCTACAACATCACCTCCCTAAGTAGAAGAGGAGAAGGCAGTGGATTTAATTTTCCTAGATCTTAGTGAGACTGTTGATATTGCTCCGCAGTAGTATTCTGTACAAATCATCCAACAGTGAGATGAACAGGTACACAATACACTGGGTGAAGAACTGGCTGAACTATAGGCCTCAGAGGGTTGCAATGAATGGGAATACATCTAGCTGGCAGCCAGTTGCTTTTGCCATTCTCCACAGTTCAATCTTGAGGCCAGCTCTATTCAATGTATTTTTCAGTCATCTGGATACAGGAGTTTAACACATCTTTAGTGAACTTGTTGATGATACTGAAGTAGGAGGTGCTGTTCACTTTCTTAAGGGATAAGAAGTATGGATGAGGTATCTATATAAACTGAGCAATCATCAGTAGCACAAAACTTAAAAAGAACAAATACCAGATTCCTCAGCTGAGATAATGTCAGACAGATATATATATACTGGGAGAGCTGGCTGGAGAGCTACAGAGCAGAAATGGACCTGGGATGCTGGTGACAGCAGGCTCAACACAAGCCAGCAGACAAGAGGGCAAACAACATTTTGGGATGCATTAAACACAACACAACCAGCCAGTCAAGAGAGGTGATTCTCCCTCCATATTTCAGTGGTAGAGCAGCCTCACCTGGAACATTGTGTGCAGCTCTGGGCTCCACAATTTAAAAAGGTATATTAAGGCCCTTGAAAGTATCCAGAGGAAGGCAACAAAGCTGAACAGAGGGCAGGAAGATATGTCTGGTGAGGAGAGGCTGAAGACACTGGGTTTGTTAAGACTGCAGACAACTTTACAAAGAGAGAAAGCTGAGAGAAATGACCAAATCTTTCTCCCTGGTACCAGTGATGGGACACATGGCAACAGCTAAAAAAAGTGTCATTGGAGGTTCAGACTAGCCATTAGGGAAGTCCTCATTACCAAGAGAGTAGTTTTGCACTGGAAGAGGCTTCCTAGAGAGGCAATTGATGCTCTGTGTCTGTTCCTGTTTAGTGGGCATTTGGATAATGCTCTTAATGATATGCTTTAACTTCTAGTCAGTCCTGAAGTAGTCTTAAAGCTGGAGTTAGTGATTTTTATAGATCCCTCTCAACTGAAACAATTCTACATTCTTCAGTCCATTAAAGTAACAAACTTCACACATGCAGCACTGTAGCAATTAGATTCAAAGGAGACATTTAAACATTTCTTCTGCATTTTCTCCTTTATAATGTTTATCAAAATATTTGTGAACTAAGATACCAATAAGAAACATCTTATGCTTTGTTGCAACATGTTTTTCTCAAACTTCTGCCCCTACAAAATACTTCTTGAGTAAAAACGCGAGTTAAAAACACCACTAATTTATCTGATATGCCATTAGAAGGAAAGGCAGTACTAAGCATTAGAAATCTTTCAGATAAAAATATTCTACACAGGAAGAAATTCTGGATAAAAAGTTTGCAGGCTTGGTTTAACTGGAACCCTGAGAAAGCTTGGAGACAAGATGACAAGAAAAAAACCCAAACATTTACACTATTACTCCTTTCTATGCACATATTTTACTTCCACTTACCTAAATCTAGCAAATGGTTGTCCTTCCTCATGCGCTACCCATAGGACATCAGCAAGTGATGGAGCTACAGGAGTTGGAACCATGCTTTGTTCATCATGATCCAATGGACTCAGGTGGTGAACAAACTAAGACAAAAATATGCATAGAAAAACTGGACTTAATGCACACCAAAAAATTTGTCTCAGCAAAAAAAGTTTTAAATAGCTTTAAATAGTAAGCATGTTGAGAAAGTGAGCTTAGGGGATGCAAAGTATCAGCTAAGCTTACTAAAAAGATCAAGAAAGCTATCGCTGCCTTTAGGAATTAGAAGATGTAAGCAGTTGAAGCTTATTTATAACCATAAATTGCTTACTTGAAAATAAGGTCTTGGGTAGGGCTCTAAGGAAAGAACTGTCCCAAGTCTACGAACAACGCTTCGAGTAGATCCATATTCCTTTCTTTGGCAAACAGATATGACCTAAAAACGAGAATACCTTATAATAGAGGGACAAAAATTGAAGCCCATTGTTTTTATATTAAAGGATATTAAAAGGTGCAATATTCTATGCAATTAAGGGCAATGCAGTCAGGTTAAGGCAACCTTCCCACACCTCAAGCTGAAGGTTCTAGAGGGTTTAGCAGCCTGCTTCCAAAACCACACGCAGACAGCCTGACCCAGCACGTATGGGAAGCACAAAGGCCATCGAGGAACGCGGCAGGTACATCGCATCACTAGCAGGATTCTGAGCTACTGAATGGAAAACAGCGCATTTTTGAGCAACCAGACGCATCTACGCGGCTCTCAGGAAAACCTCCCAGTAAAGAAGCGTACCGTACCTTGGCCTGGTACCTCCGTAACGCCGCACACAGCTGTTGGACGCTCCCTCCCGACGGGACCACGGAGGAGAGGCGCGCTCCGACCGCACGGCTTCCGCCCAGCACGCGGGTTTCCAGGAAGGCGGCCTGTCGGCGAAGCACCGAATGCAGACAGGAGAACCAGGGAACGGCCCAAGCTCCCAGGCAGCTCCGCACCAACGGAGCGGACCCCCCGGGACACGCAGCGGTGCCTCCCGCCGGCACGCGCCCTCCGTCCCCCACCCGGGGCAGCGCTCCCCCTCCTCGCCCAGCTCTCACCTGCTCGGGCGGCCAGCCCAGATACTCCAGCAGGCGCCGCAGGAGGTGCAGCAGCAGCACCATGGCGGCACAGCGAGGCGCAGGGGGCCCCGGCCGGCACCCCGCGTGCCTCGAGCCCCGGCTGGCGGCACCTATCAGCGAACGGGGGCGGGACGGAAAGGAAGTCTCGCCAATAGAGAGATTGCATCGCTCAGCACAGCCGATGGAGGGCCGGGGGCGGGCCGCTCCCGCGGGGCGCGTCGGGAGGGGGCAGTTTGAATGCCGCCGGCACGGCGGTTGGAGCCTGCCGCCGCTGCCATCGTTTGCGCCTCGAACGGCCACCGCGGCGGCCAAGGAGGAACCGCCTCCGCCGGCAGAAGCCTGTCCGGGGTGTACGGGTGGTGGGCAGCGAGCCGCGTCTGCCTTAGCTTTGGGAGGACGGGGCCTGAAGGAGGGTCTTAACATCCTCCGTGGACATCGCACCTGTGCGCAAAGCCTCCAGCTTGCTTTGCATCTCTAATCCCTGCTCCTGAAGGCAGGCAAGCAGCATCCAACATATAAGAGAACAACGTGAATGCTTGTCTTCTTGCGTGCTCAAGTGAAACAGGAAATAACAACTTTAATAAGTCTCTATTAATGCCTTCCTATGATGAGATCAACAGAAAGTCACCTTACGTTAACTATTAAATATTATCAGGATAGTTGAGGTAAAGTTGCTTTGTCTTTGGCCAACGTAAAACAATGTAGTCTCTCTCCCAGGACCCAAAGGAAGTGAAAAGTACAAAAAGGACTGTCCTCACTCTGGAACATCAAGCATTCAGCTCCTTAGGTAATCAAGCAATAGTCCTCAAACTTTTAAGCTTCCATGAGAGGTCCTTTCAACTAAACAACAGTCCAAAAACACAGTAAGTAACTCAGTACAGCAAAGTAATGTAGGGGATTTTATGAGTGAAGGAACGTGGAGTGTGTGCAATAACAGTACACTGCACTCATGAACAAAAGAAACTCCTCAAAGCAGCAGGACTTGACTGGGCGACAGCTGTTCAGCTGGTAAGCACTATGACAGGGAGTATGCCACATCCGTACATAACAGCTGCATCCTACTGGGAGAAACTAATGCACTCCAGTTGAGAAGAGTCTCCAGCACAGTAATACCTACGCCACCCTGAAGAAGTGTCCAATTAACTACATTTGTCCATTAATTTTAACTGTGTTGAAAAAGCCTGCAGTTTTCTCACTGGGCAGCTGAAATAATGAGTCAGAGAAATAAACTACATTTTAGGTCTGCATGCAGTTCATCTTTTGATTTGTTCAAAGAAATACAACAAGGTAAGTTTCAAGAAAGGACATGTGATATTATCACATCAACAGACAAAACTAGACTGCTAAAAGTTAGTACAATATGCAAAGCTTTTTTTTTGTTAATCTCACCAAGATTTGAGCAGCACTGTCTCGTTACTTCAAACCAGAACTTGAGCAACAGCAGAAGAACCATGGAAATTTTTCTCCAGCTGTGTAGTTGTTATATTTGTTCAGAATTCTGACTATCAAAGAGCAGCTTGCACTGTTGTCAATAACACTAGCTTCAAAGTTGTCAAAAAGTTGAGATAAATTGTTAATCACAGGGGCATCATCTTTATTCACGTTTACAGCTATGTCTCAGTAACAGCTCCTAAGTGTAAACCTATCCTGCAACACTTGGGTGGAATGCAACTGCTATAGCCTTCTCATGCAGTTACTCTTGTGGCTATTATTCGTAACTCGTGATATGGACTGATCTTGAGACAAAATACAGCAGAAATAGGACTTACAAGTTGGTATTTAGAAAACTGTACAACAGTGTTTGCCTTCAGAAAATGCATCCACCCACTGCTCCATCATCTCCTTACCAAAGGAGGGAATATGTCCACAGAGCTGGAAAAAGGCAGGTATCTCAAATATATCTGCACAATGGAGGTGGTTTTAGCTTAACTGCATCATCATCAATAACTGCTTTGGTTTCCCAGGTTTCAGCAGGAAAGTGGTACTTGCTAACTTGAATAATTTATTTCTATGCAATTCTAAAGAGCACAGATGTGACCTGCTTCATCTACTTACCAAAGGATTACATGAAAGGATAGCTTTAATAAATGAGGAGTGATGTGGGGCTTACAAACTGATGCTTTTGGAAGCAAATGAAAGCTACAGAGCGAGAATTCTTCTGCATACTCACTAAGTGCCAATACAGCAAAGCTAATGCGGGAAAGGTTTCACTGTTATGCAGGTGTTTGTTTTTACTGTTATGCTACTGATTGTTTCTGGAAAGTAAATATTTCTGAATTGAGAAAATGAACAACTGCATAATGTCTAGACCAGCAACATAGCTGCTACAGTTCAATTTTCCTATAAAAATGAACTTGATTGAATTTGAAATGAATTGATTTCCTCTGAACTGTGTACCATGAAGAGATGAAGGAGATTCATGAGCTCTTGTATTGCCAGAGAGCAACAAGTTAAAATGAATTACTTAATTCAAAGTGTAATTGAACATCTGATACAGGAAGGAAGCTTGAACCTTTCTTCTCCTACCCAGGATCTGTCAATGACAGTCCTTAGCTTTCAGCAAGAGAAATACAGAATGCACGAAATACTTCCAGTTTACCAGTCACACAACTATTTCAGCAGATCTGAGAATTTCAAACCACGTTGTCCTTATTAATTCCAACACAACTGTGAAAATTCACTATTCAATATATTGAAGGACTAGATAGTGTGGTAAATGCTTAATTTTATAGTGAAGAAAAAGTCTGAGCCCAATTTAGTTTCTACTTCTTACAGATCTTTGAAGGAGTGCAACTTGCATCTTGGATTATCTGAAATGAAGCACTCAAACTTACAGCTGTCACTGTCACTGCTGTAATTAAGAAATTATGTTTATTAAAAAATGCACTCAAGTTAAGTGGAATAAAAAAAAAAAGGATTTTCGTGATCTAACCTACAGATATGTCTAAAGGTAAGGCTACGTAACAATCACATGCCATTATCAAAGCAATCCATAATAGATTACCCTGCATATTCAATGAAGCCGAAAACTTAGGCAAGAACTACTTTTCAAAACCAAAAAAAAGCAAACAAACAAAAACAAACCATAACAGGTCATCACAACAATCCAGCTTCAACTTGAGCTAGACCACGCAGACTGTATCTGTTCTGAGGTTATGATAGTAAAGTTTGGTCCTACTCATTAGTTTCAGACAGATGTAGTAGTCCCATTAAGATAGGCTCTGACGCTGTCAGTATACCAGTTTATTGTTCTGCTCCTTTTTTTTTTTTTGCTTCTAATTCAGTATACATAAGTTACATGCAAGATTTACTTAGAAAAATAATCAGTTCACATTTCAAATGGTTATTAAAAGATGTACTGTATATACAAAAGCAAGTTTTGCAAAAAGGGTATAGTCTGCCTAAACTTTTTTAAATGTAAGGCAGAAATTATCCTTTAGTACCTACCACTGAAGGGCAAATATTAATCCTATTTCCCTTCCTACACAGATGCTGGCACAGTAGTGCAATCTGAAATCCACTGTCTTCAAAGTTAGAACACTGGTTTTTTGCCTTCTACTATTTAACATGGACAGGTCAGCTAGTTAACTACTAACAAAGCTAGAAGGAGAGCATATGTATTTAAGACAAATAACACTTTCATTTTAATCAAAGCACTTTTTTTTTTTTTTTTTTTTTAAATACTGTAGACTGACTCCTACATTTTAACTACAATACTGAAAGGGCACAAGTATTTAGAAAAAATCAGTGTAAAAGACTAACTCATTTTTCACACCCTCTGCTAACAGCTTTTATCAAGTTACAACTTCAGATTTATACACTGGATAAAGTGGAATACTAAGAGTATGTATTTCCAGGGCATGGGAACAGAATACTTCATATAATCATTTAGTATGTTCCAAGTATTTTTACTGATTCAAATTTTAACGTAACTTGCTTTATGTATTTTCAGGGGAATGTGTTGGGTTGGTGTTTGTTTGTTTTCCTTCCAAGATCTCACTTAAGGCTGCTGATGTGATAGAAAACTTAAAGACTTACTCTTGCCAGATTACTTACCTGAAGAGGGGATTCCACATAAAAAAAAAAGTAAAGAGGCAATTTAACAAATTGAAACCAAGATCGACATAAATGCAGCATTGATACTGCCATCAATTTCTTAACTAAAATGTGGAAGACTAAGCTACTGACTTAAAGCTGAAAATATAATCTTTGTTGACCCTGAAAATGCCACCCCCAATCACAGACAGCATCTTTATCTTGCAGTGAGCTTAAACTACAGGTTTACAAAACCTTAAACATAGTACTATGTTACCCCTGACAAAATAAGTGTCTTGAGATGATGGAAGACATCACAAGGTATCCATAATACATGACTAACCTGTTATGGACATGAGTTACAGAATTAAGACAGCTGTAGATAGTTTTCTACCAACTGTAGAAATGGCAGACAGCACTCCAGTTTTCAGACCTGTTCAGAGTTTCTAGCACCAGTGGTTTGGAAATAGGTTTCTAAAATTCACATTCCAAAAGAGAAATAATCTTGAAACTCACTGAAGAATTCACATGCATATGTATTCCTCAGGCTACTATAGGACAGTGACAGTTACAGTCTTTTAGTTTCTCTCTCTAATGTGAGAAGAAGAATCAAGAATCAATTTATCATTTCAAGACCTCCTGTAAATGTGGTTCTTGTGAACTAATGTATAATCAACCTCATACATGACTTTGTATTCACATTATGACTGGATAACTATAGTTAAAAACGCTTTTAATTAAAAAAAAAGCAACACAGAAGTAGTAATCAGCTGATAAAAAATGCTCCTCCAAGATTTCAGGTGTGCAGAGCTGGAAGTTTACTTCAGAATAAAACACAGACATAGGGGAGAATCAAAACTTTTAAGAGTTGTACTTGACCATGTATTTGGACAAAGCAGAATTACACTGCATATAACAAACAGTAAAATTTCTTAAAAGTTGTTACAAATATTTTACTTTCTAACTGTACGATCATTAACATAGTTTACTATATCAAGATTTTTTTTCCTAAAGGCTTAAAACAGAAAAACAATCCTTCTAAACTACTTCCAACAGTAAAATTTAAGTAAAATGCTTACATTCATTTGACAACAAAAAGAACATATTAAAAATGTTGTGTGGGTGGTGCAAAAGCTGCTCTTTCAGCTTTCTTCCAGGGTTATTCCTGCAGAAAGAAAGAAAACAGTCTTCTTGTAAACTGTTAATAACCAAACACTAAAAATATTTTTCCAAGTGATCTGTCACCTCCCCTCCAACAACCACCTGAGATTCTGTAAGAAAATTTATGTATTTTGCACTTCACTAACCGCTTACCTTTTCCTCCTTGCGTCTGTCCTTTTCTTCGTTGTTCTCCATCGTTTCTTCTTCATCTTCCACAATCCCATCCCCTTGGTATTTGTCATGTGTCCACTTCGGACTGCTACCTGACTTTTTGAAGTTAAAACGCCCTCTGCCACGCTGGAAAGTACCACGGCCCCTTCCTCGTTTGGCCCAATAATCCACACCATCATCTCTGTCATCATGCTATAATATACCAAACAATAAGGTTACAACACCTCTTAAATGCTGTACTCTGAACCAAATTTACACGTATAGAAAAAAAAACAATTAAGAAAAAAATTGAAAACAATTCAGATAATCTGTATATTATATTACGAAAAAACATATCCCTGCAATTCATAATGCTATAACTAAAAGTACCTTGAAAAACCTGATTTAAGAGTCATTATTAGCTGTGGGTACGTCCACTGTAAGTAACAAACCAAAACTGTCACTTATTTTTCCGGTCATCAGAAAAAAGAACTCACTAGTTTTCAGCAAGGAAAAAACATTAAAGGAAGGAACTGTAGGAATGTGCTTTTTATTTTTTATTTTTTTACTTTAAGGCAGAGAGAATCTTTATACTTAAGGAAAGATAACTGAAAGCTTTCAGAAACCCTGCTTCGCTTGTGCAAGGTATTGCACATCATTTTTAAACTACTGAGATCTGATATTAACAATAGTTATGGTTAGTCAGCATTACATTTGCTATCTTGCTGCTAAATACAGAATTGGGCATGTCTGACAAACATTCCATATGTGGACACAATAGAAAATCGTTTAATATTAAATGTTTACACTAGGAAGAATGATGAACACCTGTTCCAATATCTACTTTTTTAACTTGTGATTTGGAAAGCAATCTAAACTGTTTAACATAAGTAGCTTACCATTATATACCATTCAAGTATTTACAAGGTGGCTTTTTTTTTTTTTAAACAAACATTCCTGAATATGTAAAAAGTAACAGCTCTAGTCAGTCATTTTTTTTTCTAGCTATCATGGAACTTCCTTGTGAACAGTTGATCACATGTCACTATATGCAGGTGGAAACAGGGAGAAAACTTTGTATACACATGCAAATTGAAGTTGTGTTATTTATTGGATTACCTGTTAATATATTTGTGAGGAAAAAAATACTATAGGAAAAGGTCTTATCTTCGCTAACTAATGTTTTTCAATGGTGAAACAATATCCTTAGAAGTTGGCATTGTTAGGGAAATCAGCTGCAGCAGAGATTAAATATTCAGTACACTAAGCTACTCACTGGTTAGTTGTATCAACAGTCCTCCATTAATTAAATCCAGATGGGGAAAAAAAAGGCATAACTAAGATCACTTATGCCTATCATACTATTCAGGTAAGAATAGAAAGGCTGCTAATAGCAGAGTTGGTCAACATCCATCCACAAACATGTTAACTTTTCCTGATCTTTCATCTTTGTGTGTTTCTAAATGAATGTAAAAACAAAGCTTGAATGCCAAACTGAGATAAATCCACGAAGGCACAGCACGAGTCTTTTTGCTTTTGTTTTTCGTATTTTTTGCCAGAGTATGCCTTCTTCCCTATCTCACTGAAAAATATGCTTTAGAGAAGAATTCTACCTTAAGCTTCAGTTATTTCCAGCCTGCTGCAGAAAGACAAGCTGAACTAGGCACTGCAAGAACTCGGGTATTTTCTTGATTACATAACTGCAGTTACTCTCTCAACATGCAACTTTTGTAGTTGTCAATCTCCTTAACACCAGACATAAAAACGCACTCGGAAAAACCAAAAGCATGCATAAGATAGAATTCTCTACACCCACCAAGAAATATTTCTTGCTTTTTGGGGTATATTCAGGATCCCACTCCTCTTCCTTCGGTCTCTTTTGAAAAGTAGTATTTGAGTTGCTGGGACCAGTATTTGTTCCAGCAAAGACTCCTCTGGCTCTTCCTCTGCCCCTAATTCGAAACTGATTAACCAAAATGTTATTTTATTTAAGCCATTTACATAAAACCACAACAAAACGCTCAAGCTTTCTGTACTGAAAATGCTCATTCTGTTCTCAGTTAAAAATATAAAACTATTTTTAAAAAAGTCACATACTACCTTAAGTAATACATTCAAGCATTCACTTCAAAATAATGATTCTACTTAACGTAAGAGATAAAGCAAGTATATCTGAGTTCTTGGTATAAATTAACCTACATTCACCAAAGTGAAATTTCTTTTGACTGCTGGTAAGTCAGTCTGCTGCAACAAAGGTCAGAATAAGCTTCTGAAGCTGTTTGCAGACAAAACAAACAGAAAAACCTAGACTTAAAGGGGGGGAAAAAAAACTTCCAGGGGGGAAAGTGAAGTCACTTAGGGAGACAATCATATCTGTCATGAGAAAATGATTTTAGAATACATACAAATAATGCATTCTGCAAGTAACTGTACGCTTTGTGCCACTCATTCTCAACTAAGATTCAGTTATGCATTTTAAGACAGATTACATTTCAAATGAGTGAACACTCCTTAACCCAAAAACCAACTCTCCACTGTGCAGAGCAACAATCTTGAAGTATCTTTAGTGTTCTTTATCATAAACTAACAGAACTTTAAGATGACAAGATTAAAAAGTTTCACTGCAACACAGAAAATATTTAACTCAGAGTACACTGAGCAGTAATACATCCAGTTTCTTCAGCAACCAGTACTTTCTGCAAGCTAAAGACTTATGCACGAATTTATCCACACATTCCCCACTTAGGAGAAGAACAGTGAGGTTAGAAAGATAAGATTATTAAAAACTTACCACACAACATGTTTTCTGTATACAACCTAATTAATTAATTACAGAACTGGGTCTTCAGAGCTAACAGAACTAGGACTGGAAATTAATTTCATTTATTAAAACTAAGTATGCCCCATAAACAGACAGATGTAATTAACTTGAAGAAAAAAAGTTCTATGCACACCTAATTCCAGTAAGCTCCAACATCTAATGTAGAATTTATGCTGGATAGCTTTAAAAGTGCTTTGAATCAGTCTGAAAAAGTAAAAGGCTACAAAACCTTCCAATATACTTCAGAAACTAAAAACATTCTATTTATCCTTAGTTCTATTTTCCTACTTCAAAATTATTCAGAGCATTTATGGCTTTATGCTACACATAACAAGCACAGAATTCAGCATTTCAGCCTATCAGTAAGCATTAGTGAAAAGTCAACACTAACTTAGCAGCAAACTGACAGTTTAGCTTACAGAAGGACTTCCTCTACCCAGTCAGCCACACTCTCCCCATGGTGTTACAGCTTCCTATTTTAGGGAGTATTTACAACAAAAACATTTTCTTTACTCCAAAACCAAAGAAGTACTTACTTTGAATTCAGACGCTATTAGCCTAAATCACAACATTTCTACATTAGTCACCTAGTAGTATCTTACAATACTACCCACTCTGTACCCTGAAGTAGAATATTAAAATCAACAGGTTGACCTATTTAAGTACTTCAGTTTGGTTGATAAGCATTTGTGTGACCACGCACGTCATTACAGGACATCAATCAGTTATTAATGCAGTCATAACTGGCAGTCACCATTAGTCATATTATTGGTAACTAATACATTTCCACTTCATAGCTACTTAAATTTCACATGAAGTACTATCTCTCTTTAAGACACGTATAATCTGATTTTATAAAGCAGTAAAGCTGGCACTGATTATGAGATTAAAAAAAAACGTATTCTCTTCATGAGGGGAGGATTTTAAGCTCTATTTTTAACCATGGGCAACCAGGTTATGCTCCTCGGAACTGGGTGGTAGTCACACACAGTATCTGCACCATCCAAGTGTGGATACATTTACACCACACACCTGTCCCTTTGTTAATTACATATAAGAACAAGAAAGAGGAAAAATTGAATTTTTAGCATTAGAAATTTGGCATTTGGATTATTATTATTTTTTTTTTAAAGTAGTTATAACTCTCAAGATTGAAAATTCAAACCTTAAGTGCTGCACATCTCACACGCATTTTAAGACACTCTCTTCTCTGCAGTTCAAAACTTCTGCACTACTACAAACAAGGTATGTTTATATCAAACAATGCCTCTTTACCTTATTTTGTCTTAAATGCAGGCTACACAAAGGAACTATTGGGAAAAGCATGCAATTACTCCTAGCCATTGTCTTTTGTCCACCCACAAACAGACCTTTAAGGTATTTTTAATTTTTGCATAATGTTTTTATTTCCAAAGCCTTTTCTATTACTTCTTAATCTGTTCTAACACTGCTACATTTCCTAGTAAGTTACGTTAACATGCAATTTTTACCCTTAAAAATGCTATGAAGACCATGAAGGTCAACATGGTATTTTCCAAATCTCAATGCTAAAACACATTCCTGAGCTACATTAATATGCTTGCATGCTTATTGTGGCTAGTCCAGGCTACAGAAACACTGGATAGCAGCAAGTATACCTTCTCCTCTCCTCAGTATAGTTCTTTTTCAACATTAGTGCCCACGTTTTATTGTGCACCGTTCTCTATTAAATGATTTGCAGACATCACACACAAAGGAGATCAAAATGAAATTGAAAGTTATGGAGAAAAGAAAAACTGTAGAGAGTAACAGGTAATAGATCACAAGATTTCATCTTTGTAGAAAGGTCAATTTTAATATCCTGTTAGGATACAGTGTAATTACAAAACAGCAAGGAAGGAATAAAACAGAAATCATTTTTCCAATCCTAACACTAGGCTCTCTAATACTGCACTATTGAATATTTACACACCAAATAAGATTTCTATTGGATAAGGCCGAAAGAAAAGCACTGCAGAAGTGGTACATCATGTAAAATAAAAGAAATCACAACTATGAATAAGGTCTACACTAACATTAAGTACTGCAACAATTCATTTAATCTGTTATACTATTGTTGCAGTCCTCACCATCTGGGGGAAGAACAGGAGAAATGCAACTTACAAAGGTGCCTCTTGGCCTGCTGACTCCTGCAAAACCAGAGTATTCTTTCTGTTCGTGGTGAGTTTTGAACTCTTCATCTCTTTCTTTCTTGCAATCCTTTTCTTCTCGAGAACTGGATGAAGAAGCAGATGGAGAGGAAGATGGAGAAGATCTAGCACGGTCTTGCTCTCTTTTTTGCTTACTGAAAAATAAAATGATACACTGTGTGCTATTTTAAAAGCACAAGATAGACTGTAACATGCTATACTAAAAGGGGTTTCTTTATATTTAAAAAAGCTATCCCCCATCTGGTTATAAAACCACACATACACGTAATGCATTTCAGATGCTAAGGCAAGATATAGTTTCACTTTCCAGCCTCTTCTTAGCCATTTAAATGGACTAAACATACACTACTGCTAGTGAGTTGGAAAACAGCAGTCTGCAAACTGCAGAATTTTTCTAGGTTGCCATTAAGAGGTTCTGTTACTTTTAAGATCTGCCTTTCACTGAGGCAGAAAGAAAAAAACAGAAGCCAAAGGGAGGAAAACCCTCAAGGCAAAGCTTTACAGAAATTTTACATAATTCAGTTTGCATACTGTTGAGAGCATACAGTATGGGCTGCCCAACGAAGGTGGGCATTGCCAGTGGAAGGTAATGTGGATACCAGAGTCAGAAAGTATATGGGAAACAGGAAGTGTAAGTATTCATTGTATACCCAGTACAAAGCAGGATAATAAATCCCACAGCAAGACTTTTGGTAATTCCCTAAAGTTCTAATTTGACCCAACTTAAAAGACAACATTACTCAAAGGAAGGTTATACCTGATGAAACTCTTACCACTGCTACAAAGTATCCACTGAAATATGCTAACCTTTTTTTCCTTAGAAAATAGACCACTGGCTTTAGGAGAGAAAAAAATAAAAAGATTCCCCTTCTCACCCATGTTAAATCTAAGTATCAGTAAGATTCTCATACTCTGGGTGTTATGAGTTGAAAAAGTGCGGAATCAAGCATAACGAACCAAAGTTCTTACACAAATTGTTTATAGAAATGTACTGCATTGAAGTCCAACCTCCTGATGTAGCCTGGATAATAGGACAGATTAATTTGTCATTTTTTTTTTCAGTGTTAGCTTGCTATTCCAAAGTTTTTGTCCTCATCCACCATAAGCCGTGTAAAAGACAGATAATACATATTTGCTGTAAAACAAATAATTTTATTTGTTTAAATTTAAACATTCCATTAAACATCGAAAATTGAAAGCAATTAAGCTTACAATTACAAAAGGTTAATTAGAGACTAAAAACCTAGAGATTTCAAACATTTACCTGTCATCTTTATAAGATTTGTAATCCTTGTAATCTTTTGAAGTTTTCTCCTGCTTTCTTGACCCACTGGATTCCCTGGAGCCCTTTGAGTCTCCTCGCTCTTTACTTCGCTCTTTTCTACGGCGGTCAATGTCATGCCGAAGATCAGCAGAATCACATCTTAATTTTTTATCTCCCTGTAAGCAGAAATATGTTTCTGACTAAGATTTTGAAAGAAAACATCCAGAAGAGAATCTGTGGGGGTGAACCATGCCTCAGTTTTCAAGAAGAGGAGACAGAATTTACAACAACTCTTTAGCACATAAACTGAGCTTAAGGTGAACACCCTTTACAGGCTAAATCTGAGTACAGCTAAGATTTTGCATTTTAAACAAGCGTTTCCATTGAGCCAGCAGGACATCTACTATCTGATACAGACTGACTGTAAAATATTTTCTGGTAGGATATCTTGGTATCCATTTTTTCCAGTTAATTACTGCTAGCAGAGCACAAGTACCTTTATACATTCAGCCACGCTACTGTGCACATCAGCACTTTTTTCTCCTCCCATTCATTGTCCTTGGACACAAAATGTGCCAAGAAACAACCAAAAGAAAGGAAGTTAGGAGGCATTTTGAATTTTCTTTTTGCCTCAGTAAAATTCAATATATTCACATTGTGCTACACAAACTGGCTTCTTAGCAAGACTCACAGAAAAAAGGTCTGGAATGTGAATATTCCACATAACATAAGTTGTTCTAGAAGACTGAGATCCACAAACTCAAATGAAGTTAGAAGTTCATATTCAAAGGGGAAAAAAAAATATCACATTAAGTTTAGAAATAGATACTTAACGTTTACTTAGAACCTACTTTTTGACTTTCTTCTTTAAAGACCCTCTCTTCACCTGCTAAACGGGTATGCTTCCTCAGGGCACTTGGAGAGATGTCAATCCTCCTAAATGTAAAATAAAAGCAGTGTCTAGCCATACGTGTATGCAACTGCTTACGGCCTCACACAGATCAACAGAAGTCTGAATAACAAGGCACTTTAGCAGCAGAACAAACTCTTGCATATGAAGTCCCACCATCTGAATATAAAAGAAGCAAGAAGCAAGCCAAAAATTATAAACATTGGTTTTGTTCTTTGAAGTATACTAGAAGACAAATACACTAAAATGGCTGTTTGATTTTTCACATTTCCAAGAGAGATTTCAAGATAGCAATTACTCCAGAAGATGAGTATATATATAGCCAGTTTGATATCCAACCTTCAAAACAAAAAAAAAAAAACACACCATCAACGACAGCTTATTGTACAGTTAAAGATCTCAGTTAAGAGATCTTACAAAGTTGAAAGCTGAGATAACATCACACACAACACAAATACAATATACACTGCATCATGTAATCAAAAGCACACAATCAGAAATTACAACTGCATGTCTATCATCTTGCTTGTGGTGGCAATGATGATGAGGAAACGGTTGGACTAGATGATCTTATAGGTCGTTTCCAACCTTGTGATTCTATGATTCTTACCTACCAGGCTCTCTGATTTCAAGAGAAAAAACTGCTATGAATTAATAGATACAAAAACTAAAGTGATACGAGATGGAACATCTGACACCAAAGAATAAAGCTGAAGATAAAAAAGAAGCCCTGTACATGCAAGACATTTCTCTCTCAATATTTGAGAGAATATGTGAAAAAAGTAAATATAACCCAAATGAGATGCAGAGGTAGAAAAGATACGTGCTATAAAGCCACAGATGAAGCCAGAGTTGATTCATCTGAGTTTTCTTCTACAGAAATGTTTTTGTTTGGTTTTGTTTGTTTTGTTTTTTTTCCCCAGGGTTTGTTGCTGGTGTTTTGGTTTGGCTATTCCAAATTGGTTTTTTTTTCGTTTGTATTTGCACAGAAATCAACGAAGTATCACATATAGAACAGAAATAAATATTTTGAGTTCTTGAACAAGAAATATTAGCAGATATTATCTAAGACATAAGCAATTAACATATACCTATGTATTTCTGGGCTCTTTTGCCGAGTGCAGTGCTCTTCAGTTGCTTTTTGATATGCAGTGAACCTCTCATTTAGGGTCATTCCAGCTGACTTGAAGTATTGCTCTGTTGGTTACAATAGAAAAACACTGTTTCATTAGTTTAATTCAACTGACAGGTATTTTACTCCTGACAGAAAGGCAAGTAGCAGGCAAAAAAACAATATTTTCAGTAAAAATATCAAAACAACAAGCAAGAGTGGGCTTTTCCTATTCTTACACATTCTGTAATCCAAACAAAGATACAGTGCACAGAATCACTGCAAATCTACTTATGGCTACACCATGGCTGTATTAAATGTAATTCAAGCATCATACATGGATTAGATTTGTTCATTTTCAGTGACATTTTTCTCTAATGAAATAAAGGAACAATTTAAGTGATTTTCTACTTTATCCATAAGAAAAAAAAAACATAAGATTACTTCGAGTCGTGAATATTTGCAGGAAGTACATTTTACAACTCATTTCGACTTTAAGTTAGTGTTAATTCAGTGAAAACATTTAAGTACTGTATGTTTCAATAACTACAAGGATGACCTAATAACAAGTCATTTCTTAAAATAATACCATTTCTTGATTTGAAGTTTTAACAGTAGCAATTCAAGACAATTAACACATCCAAATGTAAATAAATTCATTTAAGCATCTGGCATCTTGGCAAACCTGACAACTTCTCTGACAGATTTTCTCTTGCTTTCAGAGACAGTTAAATTAGCAACAGCAAAACTCAAGGTTTCAAACCAGCTCAACAAATGTGTTTAAATGTAATATAGAAATACATAAAGTCATGAGCTATGAAATGTTACATATGAAGCAAGCTATCTGCTTAACAGGTCAACATACATCTGTATCAACTTACCGCCCGGCATCCAGTATTTGTCTCATAACCAACCATTAAAACTTGAAACGGCCACTACAAGGGTAGTGCCTCAATCATAATTCCATCAAACACAGGAATTTGAGCTAGCAACTCTGTTTTTATGCCATTTTTGCCAGGAAGACAGAAGGTTCAACTTTGCCTGTTTGGCATCTGTATCTTTCAACAGCTATTTTACTTTTGTAACATGGATTTTGCCATTTCAAAACACATTCCAGGACCTATTTATAATGAAAAAGAAAACATCACTGGGCATTTTCAGCTCTACATTAATCAAGAGCTGTTCAGACTGGTCGCATCACACCAATAATGAACATAACTTCAAATCGTCAAAATAGTTACTAAATCTGATCACAGACCGCAGTAAGTTTGAAACGCATAGAGAAGTTCTCCTTTCAAAAAACAGTCATAACTTTACATATACTAAAAACTTGACCAGACACTCTGTTAAGCTGTCATATTTACCAGTTATCTGTTTAACACAAGTCTACAGAAAAAGTCTTAATTTTGTGATCAATACATAACAGTTTCAATAATATTTCACCTTCAGTTTACATGTGCCATTTAAGCCAAGCTTTCATTGGATATAGACTTTGATCTCTTATCAATAAAATTATTTTCTAGCAATGACTGTTACACTCTAAGCAAGTGTCCCAATAATATTTTGAGTCTGCTATGTTAACATAACCTACTACCACTATTGCTTTTTTTCTAAGCAATTCAAAACAGTCATTTGGCTTTAGCTGCCTAGAGTTACTTCAAAAACAAAATAAGACTTGAAAAAATACACCTGTAGCACCAAAATCTTTCCTACTTTAAAAGCTAAAGTATATTTAAAACAATGCACACAGATAGATACACCCAAACTTCTCACCTCATTTAGCATTTTTTGACATTCCCCTTTTATATGATGATATGGTAAGTAACGTTCACCAGCAAATTCTTTCATAGTATATTAAATGCAAGAATAAGACAACAGCCTGGTAAAATTTAAGTCAATGCTACAGAAGAAAAAAAAAATTAAAAACACTCTAGATACCCTCACCTGGATTTTAAGAAATTATGTATTCTTGAATGAACTTTGCCAGTATGTGACTTGAATAAAATACACCCACTTTGTCAGGTTTTTTTCCACAAAAAGTGTGGAAGTGCTTTAATTTTATTATAGTAAGCAACAGGCACAACTGTTAAATTGGAAAATAATTAGCATATAAACAATTTAATGGAGATTTACTTAAATCTCTAGAAGTTTCAGGTTCTCACATCCAACAATACTGTTAAGTAAGAATAAAACGAAGCAGTGTATTTTAAGATCATTTAGAGAACCACTTCTTACACTTTATCAGTTTGAGATCGAAACCAGCTTTCCAATAAACATTTGGATGAGTTCTAAAGTGCTCCAAAAGGAGACGCAATGCTATATGAAGTGGTGAAATGACATTCAAATAGAATTGAAGCAAAAAGATTAAGCAATTTAGTATGCTTAAGCTTTACTAAAAAAATTTAACAAAAGTATGTGCTACTTTGGCTTAAAAATTTAACAAGAAACATAGTATGACTACTCTAATGCTCTACAATGCTTGCTTTTTTGACACTTGTTTTGGTGGCTATTATTTCTCTAATTATTGTATGTATACCTCAAAGGAAAAGTTCAACTAAATCAACATTAAGAAGGCTGAAATCTTCCTGCACTACAGACAGCAAACAGTCTTAGCTAAGTCTTAAATGCTATTGCTGAATGAGTAAATTGAACACATACCTTTGACATGATGAACCAAGGACACTATATGCTGAATAAATGACTCTGACGTGCTTTTGCTGGCCTGTGGCAGCTTAATGTGGTCAAAGATGGATCTGAACTCTTGCTCCTTCTTGATGGAATGGACAAGTGTGCTAGCAAGCAGCCTGTCTTTAGTCAAGGAAGCAGGTCTAAAAATGCATCAACAACAGAAAAGACACACAAAAAGAAACCACTAGTTTAAATAAAGATGAGTGACAGTGCAAGCAGGTGGAGAACCACTTTGTCAAGTGGAATAATTTACCTATTGGAATCGTCAAGAGGTACTGGTGCCATTTTGAGTTTAACTTCAGGACGATGGGAGTCACTGGCTATCATTTTGATCCTAAGTGGGCTCTCCTCTCTGAAGGTGGATTTTTCTCTCGCATCCAGATTCTTGTGTAGAGGGGGACTGTAATCAAAGAGTTCTTTGAGCTTTTCAGACTTTACCTGCTCAGGTGACTGAGTTTCTTTCTTCATCGTTAGTCTCTCAGAACTCTTGTCTTCGTCCTTGTGCTTATCTTTTGTTGTACTAGGCCTTTCCGCTATATAGCCAGTCTCTTTAGGCTTATAACTTTTCTCATCTCTAAATCCATCGCTCTCTCTATTGCCCTTCATTGTTACTTTAGATTTGTATTTGGTTCCTTCCTCCTCAGCATTCCGGTGAGATGCAGTAGGAAAATTTTTACCCTGATCTGCCAGGACAGACTTTCTGAACTGTCTGTAATCCTCTGTCTCCTCTGTGTCCTCCCCTTCAGAGTCATTAAACTTCTCTTTCCCAGTCTCTTTATCAACGAAAAAGTCTAAAGTTTCCTGATCCTCCCATTCCCTTTCTCCCTCTGTCCTCCCTTTTTCTGATCCTCTCTCCTTCTGGGCCTCCTTCTCCCTGGTATTACCCCTATCAAGCAGGTATACTCTAGACTCTTCATCTGTGTACCTGTGGATAGCAAAGAAGAGACTGGTAACTCTGGATTGCATTCATTCCAGTTCACTTGCATTCCTCTTTTGCGTCAATCCCACACCAAAAAGAAAAAAACATACTCCACTGAGCCATTCAACTTCAAGTAAATTTCACACGCAGTTCATACTGTACTAACTGTCATCTACGCACTAGTGGAAACATCTGAAGAAAATAATGCCTTTCTGTAGAACACGTAGAAATTCTCCACTAGAGTTTGTAAAGAGAGCTAGTGGTTAGTTTGTTCATTCTAATTTGGCACACAGCTTCACATGCACTTACACCAGTCCTTTTTCCCCATTAAAATAATAAAAACTGATAACTCAAATCTGAATTAACAGAATGTCCTAACTACATTCACAAATTGGTTTTAGCTATAGCTTGTACATCTTCACATAGGTCCAAAACACATCCACCAGAAGCAGTAAGTCTCAGCTCAAGCAAGTCTGACTTTTTGATACATTTTCTTTCATTTTCTATCAGTATATTTTCATATACTAAAAATCATTGACAGGGCAAACTCATTTAAAAATTATATCTATATCTGTCTATAACTCATTTTTCTAATAAATCCAAAGTGCAAGGTAAATTAGAAAGAAACAGTCTAACGTCAATAATGTAAGATAAATTCCTTCTTCAGTTGCTGCTGTATCAGGTATATCAAATATTTTGAGAACAAATTTGGAAAAGCATGCATTCCATTGTTCCTCACATCAGTGGAATTATGTCCCAAGAATATTAAGACCTACCCCACTTCTTAAGTAACACAAGTCAAGAAAAAGTTGTCACATAGCACCATACAATTAGCAGTGAATGCTGTTTACGTTAACAAAAATCAATCGTAATACATCTCCGTTTTCAGACTTTGCATTTCAAATTACATAAAACATTAAAACATTGAAGTGCTTGAACAGAAGTCAGTGTCAAACAAGCAAGCCTGATCCATCATTCATTAAAATATTAATTAATACTTTTCTGAACAGTAAATGGAATACAGGAAAATGTACCACAAACGAAAAACACGAAGGAGTGCTATAGGGATACTGGTCTCTGTCCCCACTAATCACCCAACAAGAACTTGAAACATCCTAAAGGAGGAGAAAGCTCAATTCTAACCAGACTAAAATTCTTAAAGATATTCATCAGTATTTCATATTCCCTTCTCCAAGGCACAGCGGCGATCTTGTAAAAATAAATAAATACTGTTACAGGTTGTTTTTTTGTTTTTTTTTTAGTTGCAACATTAATGTTATGATTTAATTCCTACCTTTTCAGAAACTTTCCACCTTTTACAGTTTCCTGTTCCCCAGTCTCGGGATAAAATGAACGTGTTCGAGGCTCCTCACGGGGAGCACTCTGTGATGGGATTGTCTTTGCAGGGCTTCTCCTCGAAGGGACGTGATGCAATGGGCTATTCTGAGAAGGACTGTAACGGCTAGAACCATTTCCAACGGAACCAGAGCCAGACCTCTCAGGACTATGCTGAATGGAATGGGAATGTTGAGGTGTGTCCTTTGCTGAGTGGGCTGTACTAAGCAAAGGGGCATCAGAGCAAGATGAACTCTGACTGGGCGGGGTGGCAATAGAAGGACTGTGGGGTGACCTTGGACTGTTATCATACGCTGAAAGGCCAGGCCAAATGTCGCCAGAAGCTGCTGATGATTTATTAAAATCGTCAAGAGATTCTGATGGGTCATGTTCAAACGTATCTTTCTGTTCGTCTTGTGATTTATTTTTCAAAGGGCTATCTTGCAAAGGAGCCCCTTCAGTTTTCTTTGCCTGCTTTTCCATAGACCCACGTCTTTTGGAAGAGACAGGTGATTTGCTGTATGGGGATGAAGAACGAGATGAAGAGGACCTCGGCGACCTGGAAGATCTGTAAGATCGACGAGATCTGCTCCGGGATCTCTGTGAAGACACAGACCTTCGCTTTGGACTTCTGGAACGGGAACGGCCACGCCTAGGGCTTCGGGAGTGTCTTCGGTTCCAGACAGGCCTATAACCTCCACGATGGTATCTACCACCTCCTCCTTGGTAATACCCTCTACCTCTTCCTCTGTAACCATAGGGACGTCTCATTCCTCTATTATTTCTGTAATCTCTGCGATAATCTCTAGAATAAACACGATCCCTGCTGCGAGATCGTGAGTATGTCCTTGATCGAGACCTAGAACTAGAATTAAAAAACAAATGTTAACATTCGACAACCGGAGAGAGAAAAAGAAGTGCCTCAAACTTAATGCCAGATCTCTCTAATACAGTCAGAATGGTAAAGGCAGAATAACAGCCTTCGAGTAAATTTTGCAGTATATGATCTCTATCTCATAAGGAATTTTAATAAACATTGATCTTCCAAGGAATTGTGAAACTTAGACTTCAGCATCACATCATTAAGACGTTACCAGCCTCAATGGCTTGCTCTGCTGTTTTTGTTTGTTTTAAAAGATCACCACCATTCTGGAGCATGGCACTCAGTTCTCCATCGATCACTGTTCACAGCCTGGAACATGACATTAGATCACCTCCAATTTAACTGAATATACCAGCCTGTAGACAGCTGCAGCTGATACGACAGTAAACACTGAATTCTGCCACCTCTTATTAAAGAAGTGGCTATGTCCAATGGTAAGAAAGTGAAGGAAAAGACTGGAGACAACTGAGAAGACAAGGTAAAGTATATCTGCTGAAGCCTTAAGTTACTCCAGACCTGAAAAGCTACATGAGAAAGGCAGAAAAAACTATCAGGGAAAGAGGCAGGACAATGAAAACCTCATGTGAAAGAGGGTGCAAGAATCAAAACAAGAACATATCAGGAAGAACCATTAGCATTCTGAAACTATACCGAGGTACAGGAAAGATACAGGAAAAGAGCAGAATAATCAAATTTCAAACAAACAGAAGTTTTACTCAAAGCAGAAACTAGTTATTGTCTATAAAGTGAAGATCCCAGCCTCATGCAAGTGAAAAAAAACTTCCAGACAGAACTCAATACACAAAAAACAATTTTTCACATAGTATGACATGAATATACCTGTATCTCTTTTTTCTAGAGTGTGATCTGGATCTTGACCTAGAGCTGGACTGAGATCTGGACTTTGATCTTGAAGAATGTGATCGAGAGTTAGATCGACCCATTTTTCCCAGTAGATAAACTTCTTCTGAGAAGGAAAAACAGTTGAAGGGAGGAGAAAAAGAGGGATGGAACTATTTAGAGACCACGTAAATAATATAAGATTATAATACTTTAAAACAAGAATATTAGGAAGATGTATAGCACTACCTAAACAGAAGAATTTTGAAGAAAATACGTTTATTAGCAACTTAAATCTCAACATACAACGCTTTAAACAATATAAGACTTAACACATCTACAGTGCAAGCTATTTGTCTGAAAAGATAGCAGGTTTCTCAGGTTTAATTGCAAACTGATCCTGTGTAAAAGGAGTTAAGTAGGCAACGGAAAAAAACATTTCTACAAATTAGGACAAGAAATAACGCAAGTCTAGACCATTATACATTTGTGATCCAGATCTAAACTAAAACTAAGCTATAACTAAATTTAAATATTCCGCTCATTTATATGGTTTATAGTTATGAATATAGAATATTGGTCAGAACTGCCAAGTACTCCCAGCCCTCCTTCAAATGAAACCTTTGAAATTTCTACTACTTAGGCTGAAATCACTCTGTAGAAAGATTTTTTTTTTACCCAAAGCTACATGACAATTCAAGCCTATACTTGAATTTGACTCAGCATTTGTTCATTTCTATCCTAAGACAATTCTATTTTGTTTCACACAGTATCCTTCTGGACAAAATGAAAAAAATCTGGGGGTCTTAGTCAACAGCAAGTTGAACATGTGACCAGGCAGCCAGGAAGGCCAAGCATATCCTGAGGTCCATCAAGCATTGCATTTCTAGCTACTCTACACTGCACTGCACTGGTGTAGTCTCACCTCGAGTACCATGTGCAGTTTTGGGCACTACGGTACAAAAAGGACATAAAACTATTAGACAGCATCCAGATGAGCGCTGCAAAGGTGGCAAAGGGTCCAGACGGGAAGAGGTGTGAGGAGTAGCTGAAGACCCTTGGTTTACTCAGCCCAGAGTAAAGGAGACAAGAGGGGAGATCTCATGACAGCCTATGGCTTCCTCAAAAGGATAAGCACAGGAACAGGTACTGATCTCTTTCTGGTGACCAGCAACAGAACCGAAGGGAACAGCATGAAGTTGCGACAAAGGAGGCTTGAATTGAATATCAGGAAAAGGTTCTTCATGATAAGGGTGGTCAGACACTGGAACAGCCTCCCCAGAGAAATGGTCACGGCAATGAGCTTGCTGGAGTTCAAGAAGCCTACACAACACACACAAACATACGCTCTAATTTTTGGGTGGTCCTGTGTGGAGCCAGGAGTTGGACCCAGTGATCCTTAAGGGTCTCTTCCAACTCAGGATATTCAGCGATTCTGTAACCTATGATTTCACAAAGTTTCAGTGGAAGTCTAAAATATTCTTAAAAAGCAATGTTTAAACTGTCCAATTTCATTTAATAATAACAATTTTGCCTCGTTAACTTTTTCTTTTGAGATTGCCCCATTTAGAAAATAATGGGTCACAGGAAAACAACCGAATATAAACTGCTGACAATCATATTCACATTTTCAGCCCTTAATATGCTAACTACAATTATTAATAACCACTAAAACAAATGGAGGAAAAAAAGAATCAACTTTCAGCTTTTGTATTGCAAACAAGCATAAAATCTCCAAATTATCATAATGAAAATACAAGCTCAACACAACAAGCACTTGTTGTTACACTGAACTTTATGCATATAGTTGATATATTATCTGGGAAGAAATACTGAAGACAAATTGAATTATAGCTCAAAGTTAACAAAATCACAGAGATTTTACACACATCTAAGCAAATTCAAACAAAAAAACAGACCAACCTTTCCCTAGCACTGTCACTCTTGCCCCATTTAACTTTCCCCCATCACAGTTGCATTGAGTCTGTGTGGCCCCAAAGAGACTAATCTCATCTGAAACTAACATAGGGAAAATATATATTGCAATAAAGATATTATATATATTTTTAAATAATATATAATACAGTTTTAGCCTAAACTAGCTTTCCAATTGACTAAAACTATTTAACTCAGAGAATACATTATAAGCTGCCTGTAAAAGGCTCCTTCCATTTAAAGGAAAGTAAATGAACATAAACTCAGAAGATTGGTTTTAATTCTTTGTGCTCAATTAAATGCCCAGAAGATGGATTACAATCTCTTATGTTATCCAGTTCATAGACAAGTCTTTAAACAGCTACAATACATGAAGTATACCAATTTTCCTAGAGCAAGAGAAAAAAGGTTTTTCTATTAAAAGGAAATTTCAGACCAAACTTTAGATATACAAGAAGTCTACACAACCTAATTTCAGTTTTAAAGGAAAAGGAATATTGGATTTTCCCTGTATAGCTTCAAACAGCGTTTGTACATTTGCATTCTTATGCGTAACAAGTGAATATATGGTACAACAGTTGACATTTACATATGAGACAACAGTTGACTTTTACAGAACATACATTTAACTCAGTAAGATTTATATAATTCAGTTTACCACTAACAAACTTTAAGAAAAAAAAAAAAGCAACATTGATTTTTTTTTAAATGGTTGGGTTCCATCAGAGCACTTGAAAATAGAATTAAATTCCCCTTACCTCAAGCCACAGGTCTGTGTCAATCAGTTATTTTATAATTCTCCGTTTATGCTTTCAGCAACACAAATCCCTACAGAATAGAAAAAAATGAACATGAGAGACAAGTACTTTCATGAAAAGACCATTAACTCCTGCTTAAATGGGTTCAAAGATTAAACTGTTTATCAACACAATAAACAGCATATTTAGTCCTAGCCTAGTGAAACCACACATTGAGATTTGGAGCAGCTTATGCATTAGCTGCTGCCAAGAGCAAATGCTCCTTCCTTTCCATACATTATCAGTCCTTCAGTCCTGCTTCCAGGGCTGTATAACCTTCAGCCCTTAAACCCTTCAGGTCCTTCAATTAAAAGGTTTCTGACAGACGCTCAGTGTTCACTTTCGTATGGTTAAGTTAACTGACTTAACAAAGACCCAAACAAATGCCAGATCGAGATTAAAAGAAAGACGACAGCATGCAGTCAAGAGGATGAGGTGGCAAATTCATGTAAGAGTTTGAACTCTAACACACAGCTTAGGACTTAACTGGAATGATCTTTTTTTTTTTTTTTCCAAAAAAGATATGGGATATGAGCTCAGTAAAACAGCAGATTTTTAGATTTCTCTGCAACATTTATATAAGAACTGCTCTGTTACAGTTTCCTATTTAAATAGGAAACATTTGCATGACTTTAAATAACCAGCATTTTCTTCCTCAAAAAAAATTGAAGTTTTTACAGGTAAACAGAAATAAAATATAACTGAAATAACAAACCCACTATCCAAAGTAAGAGTTTTTCACTGGCCTCAACCTTAATTACTGCAAAGCCTTAAGAATATACAAATATATATTCACGAATACACACTTGTAATCTGACTTGACATTAAGAAAATTTTCAAATGCCATGAAAGTGACTCAGAATTTTGTCCCAGTTTGATACAGACAGGCTGGATCTCCTTGAAATTCTGCATTTCAGTAACACGTTCATTAAAGCCAAACATGTTAACTAATCACACTTGTAGATGAAGGAAAAATTGAGAACACCTGAACACAAAAAAAAAAAGTAGCACTTGTTTTGATAAACCCTGCTATCAAAATTCCACTTACCATTCACTAGTAGTGACCAAGATATTTCCAATTTTTACAAAATATATGCTTTAACAAGTTAAAGTTTTTACTTCTCATCATCAGCAAGCATGAGTCTCTGAAGGAGCACAGTAGTGTATCGGACCATTTCAGATCTTGTCTAGACAAAAGGTGAGATGGCATTAGCTAGCAAAGGTTAATTAAAGCATTCTTACACAGAAAAATTAATACAAGCTTCAGCTAAGTGGTTGAAGTTCAGTGCTAGATTTTAAAATCAATGTTTACTACATTTTGATGTTTTCTCCACATCCAACTTTTAAAACCATTTGGCAGCTGCTAACTGAAATCAGAATCCTAACTTAGACAAGTTTTCGCATCACCCACGGGATGTACCATGGCTACTCTTTTTGCCAACGACTTGAAAACAAAAGAATGTTAAACAGAAAACCTTAAATACTGAACAGAAAATCTCAACTACTTTTAGTTTTGCTTCCATTTAACTGCTACAGGCAAACACTTGACATGCAAAAAATCTTTTTCCAAAGAACTTTCACACACGGGAGCAGAAATGGAAAGACTGTTTAGACTTCTTTTTTAAATAAAAGTTTGCCTATGTATATATTTTTACAGTGTGCAAGAATTAAAATAGCTGATTGATCTCTATTACAGAGAATTTGAAAAACAGTGGTACATACAGAGTTACATCACCAGCAGTCTCTTCCTGGGGACTCTCTTTGTCCCCACTGTCACAATCTGAAGTCACAACATCATGTCAGGCAACACAACGAAAAAGAGATGCTGTACACGTCACATTTCTAAGCAGTAACATTAATCCACAAATCAAAAGACCAGCTGCCTCTCTTACTTGGCTGCATGAAGCTTATCTCTTGACTAGTCTCAAGAGACCTAGAGGTTGCAAAGCTGTGCATGAAAAATGTGATGCAAGATGCCTACTGCTGAGCATTTAAAGAAGGAACCACAACTGCAAGAAACACAGTCTATATCTAAAACACCAATGCTGTTATCTGCATGGTTCTGGTAACTCGAGCTTCTTTGACCCTTGCTTTCTGCAGTAAATGTGGGAAAATTGATGCTAAACTCTCAAGCATTTCATCACGGGGTCAGAAGAAAGCTGGCTATTACAAAGGAAGCCTCTGTAGCTCCACAACATTAAGTCAGAACAACCTGGCACTACTCGTGTAAAGAAACAGTACCATCCTTCCAGCTGTCTAGTAACTCACATTCCTGATGGTTTTCTTCCTTATGCAGCAAAAGTATTTGAGCAGCCACACTGTGAACCAGACCAGAAAACATATGGATCACGCGATTAGTTACAATACAAGTGATTTTTCAGTATGGCTCATGACACAGCCCTGCATTTGGACCATGACGGGTAAGCCGCGATAGCCACCACTCAAGATTGCTTCCTTTGGCAGCAGTGCAATCCTAAGGCTTCCCTGAAACTAGCTTCGAAAGGCAGCAACAAACTCACATCTTAAGCTTTTTAACAGTACCTGCAAGCAGAGTGCTGTTGAAGAAAGCATACTACCAAACCTTGACGCAACCAGCTGCATATCTTTCAAGAAATGGATACTGAGTCACATTAATGATCAAACAGTCAGCAAGTTTCTTAATGCAACAGCAGTATGTACGGGTGCCTTAAATCAGCCTCAGCCACCAAGCAAAAACAAGATATGCCCTACAATCAGCAACACTATGATGAGGAAGTAGATGTCACTGTATTTTTCTTTCAAACACACCAAATTCTTAAAGATAAAAACCTGTCTCCGATTCCTTTTGAATATTTTTATGAGCCTTTCTCACTACACTGATGTTAAAGCTTTCTGACAGATACTGCAGACACTACATATCTGCTAAACACACTAATTCAGAAATTCTACACCATATGGAAGCTTAAATGGGTATTTTAGATTAGTTATCCAAATTTATACTAGCAAAACACTGCTCTCAGCTCACTATTATTTTAGCTATCTCATACTTATTTAATAGCTGTTATTACCCTTGTTTACGCATTACTTGAAAGCTATCAATAAGATTTAATTAAAAAAATCTCGTTAAAGAAATTCACAAGCTGTTGTCAAAAATGCATTTTCATTCAGAGATCCAAGCTTCAAAAGAAAAAGGATTATACAACAAGAATCAGGGAATAAGCCTGTCCTCAAGAAATGCTACAGAATTCCTAATAGTCTTTCATTATACATATGTTAAATTAAAGAGAAGTCAGTCTATTTAGGACAGCAATGTAAGGTACCTATTCAGTACTTGTGTATCTGCCATAAAATAACCACGCATTCTATCCATTCTCTACCTCCTCTTGTTTTAAATGTCCCCAAGTTTAACAGCAGCACATCACAAATGAGAATAGAACACAGTTCATTAGCAACTGTAAACCTCCTGGATAATCACTGCCCAGAATTCTACAAATACTATTGAAATACAGTAACAAACTTAACCAAACTACCTCAGGCTGTACAAATAAGAGCTGGGGAACATATTTTCTTCCTATTTCAATTTTTTTTCCCTACCATTTCTATCATCAACCATTTCCTACCTTCCCTATCATCTTCATAATACTTGAATGATTACAAAAACTGAACAAACTCACATAAAAAAATTACAGCATGAAAATTCAGCTGAAACAGTCAAATAAAGATTTGTGAAAAAAATATAATTCCTAATTTATCCATTTTTAGTACAAGACTACAGAAAATATACGTAAAATTATTTAAAAACCAATCTCCAAATAGAAGCAAGAGCAGCTCTGTAGAATAATCGTATGATTGATAGCTGTTCTGTTATGTAAAACTAGAGGCAAACATAACCACATTTCTCTTCTAACTAAAAACATCAAAATGATTATTTCTATGAATTTTGTCAAAACAAAAAAAACACAACAAGAGAACTGCTGCTATTTTGTTTGGCTTGCTTTTTTATTTTGTTTGTTTGCTTAATCAGATGTTTTCATACTCCCTTCAAGAGTGGTTTCTACAATTTCTTTACAATAGTCTGCTGACACAAAGGGCCATCCTCCCCCTCCTCACTCCAAGGACTGATATGCAGAGGTACGAAGTGAGCTGAACTGATTCAGAATAAAAAACATCAGGAGAAAGACAAAGCTGACTTCAGAGCCACATTACCTTCCAGATCCAGCTTACCACTCAGCTGGGTGAGAGCCAATGCCAGCACAATGGCCAAGAAAACAAGGCACCTCTTCTGAATACCTTTGGGAAAAACTCTCCTAACAGACTGAATAGTGTCTCACATCCTTCAGTGGTTTCCCTTACCTACTTCCACTACACTTAAACAAATCCCAAACGCTCTCTGGCATTCCACAAGCTCATAAAGCACAACTGCTGCTTCACAACCAGCCTGAGTCGAATCTACCTCAAGAAGCGTAACCCATCACCAAACAACAGCTCCCTGCTGCTGACCCAAACTGCCTTAAGTTTTCTGCAGCCCCACCGCACCAGAATGTTCCCCACTGTATGCATGCCCTGCCACGTTCCCAAGGAAGGCAGACACAGCCGTCACCTGTGGACTGCTGGAGCCAGCCTCTCAGAAGCTTTACTCCAGCCACCGTCAGCTCAGGAGACCCAGCCACCCTCAAGTACTTGATAGATGTAACACATTAGAACTCTTTCCAGCCACTCAGCGCTGCTGTCACTCAACACCAGAAGGGATAAGTAGGAGGAAGCAACTCTTCCCCTGTCACCACTAGAAGCTACACGTTCGAAGTATAATCTAAGCCAGAATCTCTGTCCCTTCTTACTCATCCCCTCTTTGTTTAATGCAACAAAAACGAAGCACAAGAAGGAAAACAGCTGGACAGTACTTTCCTGAGACCCCATGGTCTAAATCAACCCTTTCCAAATTGAGAACAATTTTTCTGAGAGATGTTTTTTATATTCCTACAACAAACCAACCATTACTCAATCTTAAATAGCTCCATAAGTGACTGTTTGTATTGTGGAGCACTCCTTTGTTTTGCATGCCCCTGGGCCCTCCTGTAGGAAAATTTAACTGTTAGAGCAAAACTTTGATCTTTGTGATAAAGAAGTGACAAGTGGTAGCAAGGCCTTACAGGATCACCACCACATGCAAAACAAAAAGCTGATTTCCTTATGAAAACTAAGGGTTCTGAAGCAAACAATAAATAAAGGCCTGGAGCAGTGGTACACCACGGTGCGATAGGTCTGGGAATATAACAGCCTCGATTAGGGAGGGGCACAAACACCAGCAGCGAGGGGTCGGAGGGAGATTTCTAAGCAGGCCAGTGAAGGCCCAGCAAGGGAGCAGCAGCAGCACAGCATTAAGACACAAGGGCCCGAACAGCTTTCAGGCCCGAGGGGAAGTTCCTGTCGCAGGCCCAACGCCAACAGCACGCAGGGCAGCATCACCTCACTCCAGTACCCTTTAAACCCCGCGAAGGCAGCAGAGCGGTCGCCCACCCAGTGACCAACGCCGCTCGGCGACCCCTCGGGCTCATCTCCCCCAGGAAAAGCGGAGAAGGCCGCGGAGCCGGCCGAAGGTGTGTGGGCCCGCCGCGAAAGGCCAGCTTAGGGCGGCCCAACGAGCCCGGAGCGGCCCCGGGCCGCCGCCCTCCCTCCTCTCCTCTACCTTAGCTCCCGAGGCGCCGTGCAGGCTCGGGGCAGAGCGCCGCCGGCTGGACCCGACTCCCGCAGGAAGCGGGGGCTGCGGTGCGGCCCGGCCCCTCCCCTCCTCCCCGGGGCAGTTGGCGCCGCCGCCTTAGGGCCTGGGGCGCGGGGGCGGCGCGGCGGATAATGGCTGCGGCGCGCGGAGGTCACGCGGCGGGGGAAGGGCGGGACGGCACCGCACGGCGGAGGAGGAGGGGGGAGGGGAGAACGGAGCGGCGGCCGCGCGCGCGCGCGGGGGAAAAGAGGCCGCCCCTCAGTCTCAGTCTCCCTCCCCTCCCCCGCGGCAGAGTACGGCCGCCAGCACGCAGACAGCGTCCCGCCAAGCCTCGCCACGGCCCCTTGCCCTCCGCCCCTTCCTCACCTGGCGGGCGGAACTCCCGGCGGCCCCGCTCCCTTATGGCTGCTCGTCGGCCATTTCCCGTCTCGCCGAAGGAAGAGACGCGGGGCCCACGGGGAAAAAAGAATCAACCACCATAGAGAGCGGAGGGACGACCGCCGCCGCGGGGCGCGTCACTTCCGCTCGGCGCGGGGCGGTGCCGGCACCGCCAACCGCCCGGGCGCCATCTTGGTTGTGGGTAGCCGGCCGCAAGCAAGATGGCGGTCGCGAGGTGGGCAGGCGGGCGGCCGGGGAGGCTGAGGCCCGGGGGCGGTATGGGGGGGCTCTGCCCTGGTGTCCCCTCCAGCCCCTTCCCTCGGCCCAGGGAGCGTCGTGTCAGGCGATGACAGCCTTTGTTTCCTCCCACCGTCGCCTTTTGTCCTTCCGTGAGGGCCCCAGCGTGGTTACCTGTCGGGGAGGGAGCGCGTCCTTCCACGGGAGTAGTGTGAAGGGGGCTGAGTGCAAAGCGGGGCTTGGCCTGCGGATCACAATCGGGAGGCATTGGCGATGCTCCGTGCAGCAGGAAGGAGCTCGCCTAGCAGCAGCGCTTTACTGCAGCAGCTTTTGCAGCAGATGTTTGCATATCGCTTGGTTGCAGTGCATCAGCGCAACGTTTGGGAGATTAGCTGAGCGCTTACTCTGCCGCGGAAAAGTCCGGTAAAGGGCTTCGAGTGAGCAGCGTTAGCTGGTGCACAGAGATCACAGAATCGTGGGGACTGGAAGGGACCTCTAGGATAACATAGTCCAACTTCAGCTGAGTGCGTCCTCAAATAACAGTTCACACTATTCAAATCTCGCTGGTCTGATACATTTTTTAAAAGGCAAAGTACGCATGAGGCAGAATATATAAATAAATACATGTATGAAATAAGTAAAGAGAACATGCACGTGGTCAGTTTTTTTGCAGAATTTTTCAATTCAGGCACGATGACTGGGCAGTAGCCAAAACTGGATGGAAAGAGGAATGGAACATGGGAAGCTAACGTACCCTGTAACATTGATTTGCTGTTTCCTGTGCTAAGTAACACACTTCTTACCTCCATCTAACCTGTAGTGTTGTTTTAATGTTCCAGAATATGATTACTTTTGGCAGCTAAGTTCTACAAATACAAACTTCTATGGGGGCAGCCACTAACAAATGACTTTGTGCCAAAACATAAACACAGTAGATAGTTGTAGAAGCACAGAATTATTAAGGTTGAAAAAGACTCATAAGATCACCAAGTCCAACCATCAACCCATCCCCACCATGCCCACTAACCATATCCTTCAGTGCCACATCTATGCGTTTCTTGATTGCCTCCAGGGATGGTGACTCCAAAGCTTCCCTGGGCAGCCTGTCCCACCACATCACCACTCTTTATGAGAAAAATTTTTTCCTAATATCCAGCCTGAACCTTTCCTGGTGCAACTTAAGGCAATTACCTCTCATCCTACCACTGATACCTGGAAAAAGAGGTCAACACTCACCACAACCACCTTTCAGACAGCTGCAGAGAGCAATAAGATCTCTCCTGAGACTCCTCCAGACCAAACAGCCCCTGTTCCCTCAGCTGTTCCCCATAAGACTTGTGCTTCAGTCTCTTCATCAGCTTTGTTGCCCTGATGGCTGTGGTTAAATGTTGGGCAGCCTGGCCCAGACATGTGGTTCTCTTTCCTCCTCTTCATTTTTTCTGTTACACAGGAGTAACTAACATGTTGCTGAAGGGCAACATGTGTACTGCAGCTTTTTCTGTATTCAGCTATAAGGCTGTTAGTGTGGAAGTGCTTGACAAAGCACTCAAGGGCAGGAGTCAGCTTTCTAGGGCTGGCAAGGTTTCCAGAATTATTGTAGGATTTGGTCATGCACACATTTTAAATGATCCCGAAGACCTGTGGGATGCTCGTGTTATTTCCTTTTTGTGTATTTTAATATGAGCATATTAGGTGTTGGACCAGATGATCCTTGTGGATCTGTGCCAACTTGGGACATTGTCTCCCCTCTGTTTTCTGAGGTCTGTGGGATATAGCTTATTTGCAAGGAATGGTCACTTATGCTTTTCAATTCTCCATTCTATTTAAGAAAATATACTGAGAGTCCAGAAGAATAAATTAATAAATGAATAAATATAATATAATATGAAGTATTTTGCAAATTTGTTCTAATTGTTTTAACTATATTTGTCTTACAACAAAAAATACTATTTTTTCAAGATTTGTTTAGTGCCTTGTTTTATAAAAAATTTGGCTTTTGAGCTATAGGTTGTGTGACTTTTCAGTGCAGTCCATTGTCAAGTTAATGAGAAGACCAGGATGTGCACCTGTGCCTTGAAACACATCATATCAGTGGTTTTCCTAGAGTACTGTTTAATAAACAAAACATGACACATCTCCATTCACCTCTGTCCTGCAAGCTGGTGTACTTCTCCAAGTACTTGTTTCTCTGTCTTTGAGTGGTAATTTTCCTCAACAAATTTTGGATACTTATTTTTTGTATGAAATTTGATTCAACAATCAAGGCCTGCAGGCACCTTTGACCTACTTTTGACACTTTCATGCAACTACTTTCTGTTACAATTTTTTTTCTGCTTTTCTTTTCATCTAGCTATGTATTTTTTATTGTAGCATATGGCTTCTCTGGGTATGACACAAGGCATCACTTTGAATACAGGAAGAGTCCAGAAAATTTACAGTGAAGTATGAAGGTCAGGGCAACCTGAATTCAGTTAGGAGATTCAGTTAGAGCTGCACAATAATACTGTGTCATCACTGTCCCAAGCCAAACTCCTGCTGGCTGCTATCACGTGTCACTATCAGTGACTCAGCTGAGTACTCGCTCATCTTCAGAGCACTAACATGGAGAGGAGAAATCACGAGGAAAGTCCATGGTTAACAGTTAGCAGTGAAACCTGAGCACCCACTGAAGCTCTTAAGTGTTACAAAATGATAATGTAACCTCAATTCCAAAGATTTATTAAGAAGCCAAGAGTGAGTCTTCAGAAAACTGGAGCACAAACTGTCACAAGTCAGGGTGCTGACCTATACCTTTGCATGCAGCTGTTACTGTACAATAGACAATTACACCTAAATCAGCTTCCTCTTCGGTTTTACAGCACCCTTGGGTAAATTTTGTCAATCCAGGACTGGGACAGGCTCCAGACAGATATGTAAAGAGGATGCTTCAGTAGATGGCACTCTGCCTCTGAGTGAGGATGAGTAAATACCTCAACCAAGGGATTTGGTGCAGGGAAAGCAACTTCATTTATACTCTACTGAAATTATATTGCAAACAAAGCTTTACCTAACTGTGTCATGAAGCAACCTCTGGCAATTTTTCACAAAACTAGATCTATCAAGTCCTGGCATCTGTCTTCCTCTCTGTTTAGAAGACTACAGTCTGTTTCTCCTGAAATCTTGATTTTTTAATATATATATATATATATACTTAGTTTTCACAAAAGGTCTTAGTGGGTATGTAGTAACATCAGAATCTGGCTTTAGAGCTGTTCTGCTTTCTCAGCCATTTTTCTTGATTCGTTATTTTATTTTACTATTTTCCTATTTTGTCTACAGTTCAAGAGCTTAATGCTTTTGGTTTACGTGTTGTTTCCTGTTATCTTGAAGCCACAACATTTCAGAGATCTGATTAAAGAAAAGTTACACTGAATTAGTGCGAGTGAGGAGATCTTAGCCTCAAATACAGGCTTGGGAGATCTATAATCTTTTAAACCAAATCTGCCACTAACCGCACAGCAGTAATACAAAGCCTGGTCTTACAGCTTTCTGAATTGTACAGCATTTTCTTCAGCCCTGAACAGAAGGGTAAGAAAAGAGAATGAAATAAGAATTACGTGAGGCAAATTAAGTTTGTTCAGTACTCACAATTTTGTATTCTTGATTAATAGTGTACATTCATTCAGTTCACTGTTTATTAAGCAGCCTTTTAACTATTATCTATCTATGATCTATTTCTTTCTAGTATCTATTTTCATACTTGACTAGCACACTTTTCTCCACCCCTGCCTCTCTCCTATGCTCCTTCAAAATCCTCTTTTCACAGATGATAGTTTAAAATCACAGTGAACTTGTAATGTTATTTCTAAAATCTGGAGCTTAGACCATCCTGTTCTTCCTTTAAGAGGAAAGCATTTGCTGCGGTAGCTCAAATAAAATTGTCGGTCCCTATTTTTTCCAGTATTCATATCAGTCCAAGTCTGAGGGTTGTGTAGGTCTGTTAAAATGAAGACAAGCTAGGAAGAGTTTTTGCATGTGTTCCTCCAAGTGACTATCATTTTTGAGCTATTGAAAACATACCATTAGAAACTAGGGAAAGGAATTACCAGAAGTGGTTCATGCAATGGAGTTCTGTGTGAGTGAAATGGTGAATAATTATTGTTGAATAAATGTGTTTTTAGGTTTTATCTTTTTTAATTCAAAACCCTGTCGGCTGCATAACGGACTGTGTCCAAAAGCAATATTCTGTCCTCTACAAAGTAGCTACACATCAGGTAAATTCTTGTACCACTGGAAGCTCTCTGTTGAAAATGCCATTAGTTACAGCATTTATGTATCATTTGGCAACCAGATTAAAACTTCAACATGTATTTTATACAGAATTCCAAATAGTCTTTGAACAGTAAGGCTAGGAAAAACCTCTCTCGCACACAACTGTATAGAGGTGAGATGGAGAGACTTTTTTTTACATTTTACAAAGGGAATTGATTTCTTTTCCTTTGGAAGAAGAATCAGGAGGTAGGGTGTGGAGCTTCTACTATTTGGAATACCTTCTTTATAGGAATAAAGGTTTAAGTAAGATGGTTTAACACCGTTATGATGCTGCTGTTTTTACTTCTGCAGCCTTGAGCTGATATTTGTTCAATCAGATAAAGAATCACATCTAGGTCATGAAACTTTAGGTTTATGATTGCAACCTAAGCATTACTACAGCTACATTAATTTTGAAGGAGGCTTGAAGGCCCACAAACTAGCCTTCTAATCTTGTCTTCAAGTAGTGGTTTCAAATCAAAGACAAACAATTTCCTAACTGAATCATCAGGTTAAGTATTGAGATACCTGAGTTCTATGCCTTTAGGAAAATTACAGCTTAATCTTCAGGTCTGCTGAGTTCATTTAATTCCCATTGATTTTACATGGTCTTACAATATCTCAGCACCTCTGAAACTTGCTTTTAGATCTTTATGTGAATGTCTTCCTTACAGATAAACTGGAAAGCTGTTTAATGTGTGTAATGTAATTTGAAATGCTTATTAAATACATGTTGCAGAAGTACAGTGATTGCTAGCAAGTGTCTTGTTGAAACAATCCTGCTTTTTTCTTATCTGAGTGTGGTACAGTTCAAATTACCTTAAAATATTTCCTTACAATTAAGCCACACTGTTCTGTAGACAGTAGAGAACAGGAGACTGAAGGGCCATGTGATGGGTCTGCCACCTCACTGTTTTTAGGGTGGAAGCTGGAGGGTGGATGATCATAAGCAAAACCTGAAGAGCAAGTGGTGGCAGAAACCAAACCTTAAAATCACGAGGTTCCCCATGTTTAGAAGGTTCCTACTGAATATGTCCAGAAGACATGCTGCAAAAACTGGCATGTTAACCTAGTTTTTGATAGCATTGAGAAGCAGATCAGAGAGTAGGACTCAGTGGGCTTGCAAAGCTGTTGAGGAAATAGCTGGAAGAATCCGAGACTCAACTGCACATGCAGGAGAGGTCTCACAACTTCTGGGTGTATCTGTGCAGCGTAGTATTTTAGTTTAAGAAAACTGCATCACATTTAACTAAGTAAGTAAATAAGGAAAGAAACAGCAGCACCAGACAGACCACTGAGATTTGGGTGGGCCTGCTCACCGATGTTTGAAGATAGGGAAAAAACAAGGGGTTGGATTTTCAACCATGATTTATTTAGAAATTTAAGATCCATTGAAGGACAGTGAGACTAAAACTTAGTACTTAGTGTACCAAATGCAATGGTTAGAGTAAGTTTATAGAAGTTAATAAAAGTCATCAACTCTCGTCAAACTAATACATGCTGGTTTTGTAATGAAGGTGATCTTCTATCAAATGAGGTTTTACTCAAAACCTGAAGAATGTTACAATTATCACTTTATGCTAAATTAATTAGAGCAGAGTCATTTATAAGACTGTTCAGTCAAGGGTGGGCACATGTTCCATCCTGGTGAAGTATGCAAAATGATGGGGTGGAAGAAGAACAGCTTTTTTTCCCTTTCTGCCTGAAAACTTGCGGATGTCTTTTACAGTCAAGACAGCAACACCCCATAATTAACTTTCCCTGCTCACTTGGCCACTGATTTTTTTTTATTCCAGTTTTCCATTCTTGCTGATTTGCAGAGTCTCACTTGGCTGAGTTATGAGCTGCTTGCCCAACAGGGTTTTTGTTCTGGTCTACCAAAAACTAGAAAAACCTGTTAGTGTACAAGCTTTTTTTTTTTTTTTTTCCCAGTCTTCCTCTCCCATTGGCAGTTACAGCCTGTACACGTGCACACAAGGTGGTGCTTACCTTTCATGGAAAACTGCCTTACAAAAACTGAAGTTGTTTTTTTCATCACCTCATTGCTTTTCTAGCTTCATGAAGGCTTTTGTGGATACTCCAGGAGTTAAACTCTGTTCTCCATGGAATGGGTTTAGGTCATCATCTTATTTTTCTTCAAGAAAAGGGAGGGTGTCTGTGCATGGCTCAGGTCCAGCCTTTTCAGTAATATTTGATAGACTGGGAGATCCACAGAAATCAGCTTTGTTGTGTAATGTAGCTTTTTGGGTGCAGATGTTTGACTCCTTCACAGCAGCCGCACAGCGTGTCATGCTGACATCTGTAACACTGGACAAACACCAAAGTGGCAAGTAAGTGCAAAACGTCAACAAGTTGGGGAGAAACTTTTTTTTCCCCATCTCTTTCGTTTTCCTTGGTTTTTTTGTTGGTTTTTTTTGCTGCTGTTGGAGCAAGAATGGGTCAGCTGTGTGGACGGTGCATGCAGCTGCTGCGCAACTTCGTGGCCTTCGTTCAGAAGATGTCTTCAGAGCTGGTGCACAGCGTGAAGGAATGCTTAGCTCTGATAAGCGAGTGCTCCTGCTTGAAACAGAATGCCTCAAAGACCAGACAGCTGTACAAACCCATGCTGCAGCCTCATGAGCGGGTTACAGCACAGGAATTTCTGCAGCAAATTGAAAGAGGTAAGAGCATTACGTTTTCGAAAGGATTGTGAAAGGGGAAGGAGAATCTTTTGGGGGGGCTGAAAACAGATTCCCATCTGAACTACTCTGACATTTTATATTGGTGTAGGAAAGGACAGAACCACAGAGCATTTCTGTGTTGTATTTGTCCCATTTGTGTATGGGACATCAAGAGCACGAGTGGCACAAAAGTAGGATTCAGGTAGAAGTGGTCTGTCCCTTTCTGCTGTGCCACCACTGTTAAACATGACCCGTGTACATATGTCTAGTGAAAGCAAGTCCTTCTAGTAATTGAAGTTAACTTTTTGAGTCAGTCCCTGAAGCAACAAAGCTGGAAAGAGGACTGTGTTAACATTGGGCACTACAGGAGCCTGTTAGCAGGAAACAGCAGCATGGTCCTGGCTGAGTTGTTCATGTACATCTATGGTCTGGTGCAGAGCACCTGGAGCTGCACTGAAGTGCCTGTGCTGTATGTGGGAAAGGCTGAGGACACCCTGGGACAAGTGCCATTGGGCTCAGAGGGCTTCCCCAAACTCCAATGAGCTGATCTGCCAATATGCACTTTTGTGTACATGTTTAAGGCACAGAGCTTGAACACAATCATAGGATTCAGCTTGAATCAAAGCAGACCCGTAAGTCTATGTTCATCTGTCTTGGGTGTTCTCTCAATCCTGTCTTAAGATACAACATATTAGTAGGAAAACTTTTCTTTTTTTTAAATTTAATTCCTACTGTCACAGAATGTTTTCTTGGATGAGTGTGTTTTGTCAGTTGTCCAACCTGAAAGCATTCTTGTCTCAATCTTGAAGAGGGGGCAGTTGCCTGTTGGTTTTTTGCTTTGACTTGCAGCTAATTGCATGTATTGTGTTAAGTTTAACAACCTTGGGCTGAAGGTAGTAGACAAAATTGCATATCCTTCTGCTTTCATGAACCAAGAGAGACGTTTATTCTTGATGTAACACAGATAAAGTTGTTTGAAATGATCTGTCATAGAACAACTTCTGGAATGATTGTTGTGATGCTGATCTACATCCTTGAACTACACAAGGATTAACCTCAGCTGATATCCTTACTCATTAACACAGGGATCTCGTGCTGTTAATATGTTTAATTAACTGCTGCATATGAAGCACTGGCAAAATCCCAATGTCCTAACATGTATATCCAAAATGGGACTTTACTTTTCAGCTTTGTTTGCAGTGAGAATCTTCCAAAGCTGAACAAAAAGCTAACATGCTCCTGGCCATTTATGAGTGTTTTGACAGTAATCCTGCTCAACTAAGAGATCAGGTGCAAGTAAAGAGTGGTCTGGAAAAAATGATGATAATATTATGGCCCCTTACAGCACCCACTAGTGCTTCTGAAGAGAATAAATGTATGTTTTCTTGAGAAATCCTTTCCTTTCTGAGATGGGTCTGCAAAGGTCCAGTTTGTCCTGGCTTCTGAGGAGCTGGGATAGAGCAGCAGAGAGCCTTGAGCTTCTGTGGCAGCAGTGCAGAGGTGGCCACACATGCTCTTAGGAAAATCCCAATGTCTATGATAGGAGATACACAGTGCACAGGAAGAAGGACCAAGATTAGTTCTCTGAGTGGCCAAAGTCTGCTGCCAAGACAGGAGCAGAGTTTGGGAGACTCAGAAAAAGAACCAGGACACGTACATCTTACTTTAGTACTCACCTGTGTATTTTATTCCAAGATGAGATGAGCAAGCCCATCCTCAAATTTGAACAAATTATAATAAGCAGAAAGCCAACATTTGGACAGCTGAGTGCAAGGAAAGACTTTATGATAGGTCATATTCATTTGTTAGCTACTTCAGCAAATGTTTGATAAGCAGGTGAAGATTTTGTGTGGCTTTTTCTTTACCATTCTCCCAAATAAATATGCACAGATATCTGAGGGATTCAAGTAGTCACTGTGTAAGGAAGGGAACTAAAGTACACAAAGAGATCCTTGTTTTTTTTGTCAAGGTTTCTTGCACATGCTGATGGCTTCCCTTTGTGTTTATTGCTAACTATTAAATAAAACTGATCATTATATGAAGCAGTTGTTCTTTGGAACACACTTACCTAACCTTGAAGGTAAGCATTTGCTAATTCTTGATATGTCAGAAGCTTCTAATAGCTTAAGATGTTGGCTGAGTTTCACACTGAGTCATTGAAAGCTCTCAACCTTCACATCCTTCACATCCCTGATATCCCATGTGAAGAAAAGTAGCTAAATCTTGTTCTTCACAGAGATATTTTGGTCTTTAATGCACTTCCTAAATCTTATCTAAAGATGGATCATGTACTTGTGTGCTCTACCAGTCAATATTTAGTATATTACCTTTTCAACTGTTGATGCTATTGAGCTCTGGATCAATGGCCGTTTTTTTTTTCCTCTTTGCTGTTCCATTCCCTGCACTGTAAGCACATAAGGCAGTAACTTACAGAAATCATGGATGACTGCTATTGCTGTACTCTCAATGGCTATTGCTGAACATTTGATTTATTCATAGAGGAACTATCATACTCGAGAACAGGTAGACACATGCTAGGAATTTGAGCCTGAGGCAAGCCCATTTGCAATCCACACTGATATTTCCTGAAATCCATTATTATAATACAGAGAATAGAAAACACAGCAAAAATAAGAAGTGGTAAATTAAAAATATGTTCTTGTTCTGTAGCTTATAGCTAAGAATGCTGTTTTCAGTTGATACATTTTAACAAAAACCTTCTGTGATTCAGGAAGCAATAGGAGTTTTATGGAGAAGAACAACACCTGCATTTATACTGGATAACATAAAAGTGTCTAAAGGTTATAATTTATCTTGCATCCAATCACTAGCTTCAAGAACTTCATAAGAGGCACTGCCAAGGACAGGTTATTCTGGGTTTGTTTATTGCTGCTGCTCCTGGAAATATGAAAAGTATACATGGGCTCTATGGAGCTCATTCAGTACGAAAATCCTTGTACTTGTTCGATTGGCTGTAAACTTTAATTTCTTTTTGTAAACTATACTTTTTCAAGTGTAATTAAGACTGTGCTGTAACTGTATATCTTTAGGTTTTGAGATGTCACCACTGGGAAAGGACCCTCTGGAAGCCTTGAGGATCTTAGCTTTTTCTGAAAACCCAGGTCTACAGCAGTCTGCTGCTCTCTATTATTTGCATATGAGCCAGCACAGTAAGTTATCTCAATGCCTTAGAAAATTTCCACGTAATTATAAATAAAATCGTATTTTCCAACTGTGAAGCCTGCTTTGATTCAAAATTCATTAATCAAAGCTCTATTTTTTTTCCTGCTGCATTTTTTACCAGGAAAAATGGAAATGCTGTCATTGCCATATGGGCAGAATCATTCTGGGTTTTGCTATCAGGAGATTATTTCTCATGATTATAAAAACTGTCATTTCTGTTGAAAACAAATCAGCAGACTCTGAAGTATCTAGAGTCAGTGTATTCTGAATCTCCTGAGAGCAACACACAGAGAATCTGGTGGCAGGAAGTGGTCATAGTGATCTTTTAAGGTTTTGCAGTGTATGAGTTTTTGGCAGAGGACAAAGCCCTAAAAGCTAGGCTGTAGTGGAGACACAAAGGAAACATTATGGTTTGTACCCACCACTCTGTGGGAGCCACTGCTTAGCTCTTGAGGCAATTTGTGAACAGCTAGAAGTCAGCCTTGATATGCCAAATAAGATTTCCAACAAGAGTTTGGGTCCTACATAAGGGCAGAAATACCAGCAACAAGCAAGCTGTGGTTTATTTATTTGCTTTTTAGAATTGTACCTCAAGCTTTATCCTATGTATTTTTTTCTGGCTAAAAAAGTGCAGAATACTCAACATGAGGACCTGCTATGAGGTGGAATGACTTGTTTGGTAGCTAGGCATGTTGGTTTCCTTCCCATATTTTTAGAGTACTTGATTATTCAAAACCTTCTCAGGAAACTTGGCCTGTTTTGCCTGTAGCAATGTAATTTAAATGATGGAGAATACCATTCAACCCATTTACGATAACAACTCGGGCCCAAGACTGAAAAGTGAAAAATGAGAGCAATGTGAACGATGAGACTCCTGAGCATTTCCTTTTATTCCTGCAGTGAATGTTCCCCTGCCAGCAGAGCATCTAGAGCCCTTCTATGCCTTACTGCGCTCTGCTGACCTGGAGGTACAACAGATGTCTTCTTTGTCCCTTGTCAACTTTTTGCTGGAAGGAAATAGTGAGTAATTAATAACGCTTTTCCCATTCTAGTGCATCTCTTATGCAGGACGCAGTACAGAAGGAAGGCACTTCTCCATAGTGAGGTTTACATAGATCCAAATTCCCTTTTTTTGTCTTCTAGATAGGACAGATGTGAGTTCGCTTGCAAGACACATAGATGCTGGGTATGTTAGGTCCCTTGAACAATGCTATATCATGTGGCAAGTAATCCTGGATCTGTTTGCAAAGACTGTTATTTTTCTCAGGCTGGTGTGGGAATATCTGTACTACTTTCATAGAATCATAGAATCATAGAATGACAAGGTTGGAAACAACCTATAAGATCATCTAGTCCAACTGTCTCCTCATCACCATTGCCACCACAAGCACTAAACCATATCACGCAGCACGTCATCCAGATGCCTCTTGAACACTGCCAGGGACGGCGACTCCACCACCTCTCTGGGCAGCCATTCCAGTGCCTGACCACTGAGAGAAATAGTTCCTCCTGATGTCCAATCTAAACCTCCTCTGATACAACTTGTGGCCATTACCCCGTGTCCTGCTCATTGTCTGGGAGAAGAGGCCAAATCCCTCTTCCCTACAACCTTCCTTCAGGAGGTTGTACAGTGCTATGAGGTCTCCCCTGAGCCTCCTCTTCTCCAGACTGAACAATCCCAGCTCCCTCAGCCGCTCCTCATAAGACTTGTGCTCCAGACCCCTCACCAGTTTCGTTGCCCTTCTCTGGACACGCTCCAGGACCTCAACATCTTTCCTGTAGTGAGGAGCCCAAAACTGAACACAGTACTCGAGGTGCGGCCTCACCAGTGCTGAGTACAGAGGGATGATCACCTCCCTGCTCCTGCTGGCCACGCTATTTCTAATGCAGGCCAGGATGCCGTTGGCCTTCTTGGCCACTTTTTTCTTGGATTGAGAGCCCACCACTTACCCTTTCATGCAACAGATACAGCTCTCAGAAACAAATGCCTATGAGATGACATTCATTTTCCTTTTACTAATTTAACTGAAACTCATTCTTAAATTGCTTACAGTTTGGAAAAAAATGCTTAGATCTTTAGTATAATTGTCTTATAACTGTCTTATAACTATACTTATAAGACATAACTGTCTTATGTAGCTTCTGGGACCCGTTTAATTGAGTTAGTATTTGGGAGCTGCAGAGGGCATGTTAAAAATATATTTATAAAAGTAGACTTCAGAACACAGAGAGCAGATGAGCAAATTATGAACCTATTGGAAAACTGCAGTTGCAGTTTCCAAAATGAACTGTGTGTTTGAAAATAGAATTGCTGGTGGAAGTATTTGGAAGCATTTGAACATCTCTTACATTCTTTCTTGAGTCTGACAATGAATCAAGCAAACCAAATAAGAAATTGTAAGTGCCTTTCAGTCTGTTTCTATATTAGATCTATTTTGCAAATAGACCGCAAAGGAAGGACATATTCTTTTAATGAAGGCTTTAAATATTTACTTTCTTGTTTGTCCATTTGTTTGTGAATCTATGAATAGTTGACAAAGAAATGGTTATCCAAATGGGTTTACTTGAGCCAATTCTGGATCTGCTTGAGTCAGAGGATCCCACTGTCCAGTGTAATTCCTGTGCCTGCACAATGACTTTAGCTGTTTCAGGTGAGTGTGCTGTTCTTCCCCTTTATCCTCTGCACTGAATCCATTCACCTTTTATGTCATATTTCCATATGATACCACTTTCTTGCAACTGGATTAAGAGTCAACAGATGCCACATTGGTATCTTTTCAGTATTCTTATTTCACAAATTCTTGAGATTAAGATTGGTTATTTCTTGAGATTAAGATGGTTAAGATCTTCTCAGTGTTTCTGGCCTTTTTTGTCTTACAATTACAAACCCATTTTAGATTTCCAACCTAAATATATTAATGACTACCATATCTTAATTAGTGTCTATGCTGGTTTTTAACTTCAATATTTCTCCCTCCTTGATGTCTATACCAATGAAGATCTTTCATTTTACTAGAACGAGGAAGCCAAGTTCATTTAAGACTCCTTTTGTAAATTAGACTCTCCATTTATCTCCATAGCCCTTTTGGGTGTAAAGCGTATGTTCCAGAAATGGAACATAGATATTTTGCAGTACCACAGACCTCAAGCATTGTTACAGTCAGAAGACATAAATAAGTGCTGCAGGAGTTTAATTTTGAATTTATCCCTTCTGAAAGACAGTGACAAGAAACATGCAAGAAACAGCTTCAGCTGGGATCTCATCCATGTCTTCTACTGTGACATTCAGGAAAATACTTGTCTGATACATCTGATGATAACATTTATGTCTTTTGCATTATGGTGTTGTTGTCATCCTGCAACTGATTTACCATTTAGACTTTATCCTTCTCTGCTGCTATTTTGTGTCATCACCAGTTTGTTAAGGGTCTGCAACAAAGCTCAACCACTGTTACCAAAAGTCATCGTGTTAGTCTAGCTTATTATGCCTTTCTCAAACTGCATTGTTCTTGTGTAAAGAATATGTAAAGGTCTGCTTAAAGCTTATAAATAGTGCTTATTTCCCTTCTTCTCTTGTTTTTCTACCAAGTTCCCCTCAGCATGGGAAGCTGCCACCTGATCTCCCAAGAGGCTGTGAGAGATATTGTAGATGCTTAACTTCCTCACTTAGGTACTTATGTTGTGAAGGGAGAGCGGATAAGCAGGATCCAACCATGTGAAAATGCTAATTCGCTTTTTTTATTTTAAATTTGAGATTCCTGGGCATAGGAGCGCTTTTGTCATAGTTATATGTATAGTTAGTGGAGTTTTTCTCCTGAAGATCTACAGAGGCAGTTCCCTCCAGCTGTTTTAAGTAGTGCACAGAAAAGGGATGTCCTCTGGAACCTAAAGGTGTTAATTAGTATTGAGGGCATTCTCTCCCTCCTTGATGTCTCTGCTTAATCCAAGTTGCAGGGAACCCTCAGCCACTCTAGTTGCATTCTCTATTGAGGATGGTTACCCAACACCACTGCACACTCTGTAAGTACCAGTATACTTTTGAGCACAAGTAGATCACATTAAGCACTCAAGGAACTTCTAGCCTACATAAGAAAGCATATGCTGAACATAATGGTAGACAGTCCTGCAAATGCATAGGCTGGGTTGCTGCCTGGGACTTAGATCAGTTTTGAACATGTGTCTCAATTTGACTAGGATTTAAATGGACTGGATCCATTTATTTCTTCCTCAGAATATGTTTTGCTGCCACAGCAGTGAGACTAAAGCAAGAAGCAACTTGCTAGAGTTTATTTTAATTCTAACTCACATGCTCTGATATCTTAAAAGATCTGCTTGAGAAAACAATGTTGCTCAGTCATGACTTCAAGTATGCCATACATATTTGAGAATATTTTTTAAAAAATAAACATAGAAGCAGAACAAAACTGGAAAGATCCTTTAAATAGTTTTGAGGTGACTAAAACTTTAAATCCAAGAATGGCAACGTGTCTTAACTCTGCTGCAATACACATCCGTGGCTGTACAGGGTGAAGTTGTTTAGTAATGTGAGTGCAAGTTATACGTGAATCTGGGATATGCAGTACTTACTGGCTGCCAGAAATAGCCAAAAACTAAACAACAAACAAGCTCATTTAGATTAAAAGGATTTCAAGGTCAGTTGGTTCTGACACTGGCATTGGATAACAGCAAGAGGACATGCGTACATCTGCAATTATCTGTCTCAATCTGTGAGTGGAAACAATCAGTTCTGGGATAAGAACTCTCCTCAGAGTAGATAAGAACAGAACTAAATGTTCACAGCAATAGTATGGGGAGGTCATAAAGCTAAACAAAAAACAGTGCACATTCAAAGCTGTCCCATCAGGAGAATTTTAAAGCACACAAACAGCAGAAAGTGAAAGGAAAGAATTTATAAATGTGGGTTTCCAGATGGATTATTCAAACCCAGTTTGAGTAGATGTTAGTGATTCAGCTACTTTAGATTAGTAAGTGGATACTCAAAAGGATGGTTCCCTTCTAAAAGCACTCTCGGGGAAATTGACTGCTGCACTGGCATCAGTGGAAAAGCCACATTATGTAGATTTTCTCCTCTGGAGATGCTCTTCCCTGGAGATATTCAAGACCCACCTGGACGCCTGCTTGTGCTGCCTGCTGTAGAGAGCCTGCTTTGCAGGGGGGTTGGACTCGATGATCCCAAGAGGTCCCTCCCAACACCTACAATTCTGTGATTCTGTGTGATCCTGTGATAAGCAGATGGGCTGTGGAAATGATAATAAAATTATACACCATGGTGAGGTAGATATTTTCACCCATTCTGCCATAAGTTGATGAAATAGACAGTGTTCAGTGTTCACATTATCTGACTAAAACTAGAATGACAATGGAGGGAGGGACGAGGGAAAATGATTTATGCAAAAACAAAACCAGCAAATCCACAATAACAGGCTCTAAGAAAGATGGTGAAGCTGAATTTCTCAGCTAGTGAATCACCAAAAGAAAAGGGAAAAAAGAGTTTTATGGTCATAGAGGTTTCTACTCTCCCACAGTGAGAGTGGGTGCTCCAGTCACTCCCAGGCGAGAGCAGGGTGCCAAGCCCATGTGCCACCACCTCCACCAACACAGGCTGCACGAGCCCTCCCACCACTGCAGGCTTCCAGTATCGATCACCACTATCATGGAGCTTTCATTTTCAAATCAAACTGTTGTTTTTTCTTCTTAAAGGAAGAATGACCTTTGAGGCACACAGTGGCTCAATTTTGGCATGGTCATCTGCTTCCTTCAGAAGATCTTTGGACTGGAAATGTGTCCCAGAGAGGCTCTTTCACATGAGAACGTAGGCTCTCCTTACCCTATCCTAGAAAGGAAGGTGGAAGAAAAAAAATGCCCAAATTTTGTCCAGACATTTGTAATGCCCTTGCCAAAATGCGAGCTTTTCTTCCTCACTCATAATTAATGGAGTGTATTGTGTGAAAGAATGAGGAAGGATCAATATCTGGATGCTCAATCTTTTTGTCTCTCCCCTTCATCCAGTTTATTAGAGTTTACATCACATCAGACCGGTTTGCATCAGATGGAGCTGCACTAAATAATTTCTGCTTCCACTGTGGGAAACAAAAGAACAGTACACATTATGGATTATACTGGAGAAAGACTTATTTACAAAATCAACCTGAAAATTTCATTTGAGTAAATGCTTCCCACGTGACACAGATATTTTTAAATAGATGGCTTTTCCCAGAGCAATTATTTCACTCAAAAATGGGAGTATTTTTTCCATTACAAAAGGTCTTTCTTTGAGTATAAACATATATATATGAAGGCAAAAAAGGACTTAATCTGGAATACTAAACTGATCCCAGCTGAACTGTGCTTGAATAGATGTCCTTGACTATCTGCATGTGTGTGCATCAGTTCCTTAGTGTAGAACAGCTCCAGGAATAGATGTTTTGTTCTCATAAATCTCTAAGTGTTGGCACCTGAGGGTATGATCTGATCCAAATACTTACACATTTCTTGCTTGCTTGTGTTTCACGTTTCTCTTACTAGGGTTCCAGAGACTGGCCATTGTTTAAATAGTCTAGAAATGTACATAAATGAATCAGTACTCCAAAAAAAGTCAGTCCTTCCAGCTGTCCTGCTCCTGACTCTAGATAAAAGGATACATTGCAGCACTGTCATTTTTTTCCCCAGAATCCAACCGAGAGGCTATCGGCGCTGCTCGAGGAGTTACACCTTTACTGTCTCTTGCCAATTCCTATGATCCTAGAGTACAACAAAATGCAGTTGGTGCTATTCTCAACCTTACACAATCAGGTACTTTCTGACTAATGGTTTAGCTAACACTCCTGAAAGAAAATTCCTCAGCAGTAGAAAGACACAAATTGAAAGGATTAAGATAAGAACAAAAGCTTATCTGCACAATAAGTTATTCTATACAATCTTTGCATATTGTATTCATGATGATACCATAGCCCGATTATTTCTGGTTGGCCTCTCCTTAGCTAGTGCAGAGCCATTTTTACCTAAACCCAAAATAGGAAGGCTTGACTTTTGAACTCAAAGAATTAATGTACAAGCAATTAAAATATTAAAGAAACAGAAATAATGATTATTTATTTAAGAAATATTTTGGTCTAAAAAACTATCAGCACATTTGGTAGTACTTTGTAGCAATCCAACAAGGATTATCCAAATTTGTCCTGCACGGTCAAGCTGTGGTATTGTTTAACTTGTATCTCTAACTCAAATGTTGGATGATTCAAAATACACATGACACTATTATCCCACACAGCTAGATGACATGCTCCTAAGGAATATCTTATTTTTATACAGTGAGGAGAATGACTGGCAAGAACTTTTACAATTAACTATTACACTTCTGCTATTATTGTTTGTTTTACAAGGAAATCGTGTGTGGTGAATATCATGCTTGGTTTTTCATATTCTCCACCAGATCAGATTCTCTCAATAGGCTTTAGCAGAAAACCAGCGCAGGCTTAACCAACCAGCCCAGGTCATTTTGCTAAAATGACTGCACACTACTGTCTTAAGCCAACTCTAAATGGTGTGCTCTGATGTTTGGATAAGCATAATCACTCTATTGTGCGTATCCTTGTTAAATAATGCCTCCAGATGAGAGAGAGGGAAGGGAAAGGACACACTAACAGAACTTTGTTTTCTTAAATGGCAGAGAGGATCCAACTGGTCTTGTGCAAGGAAGGAGCCCTGCCAGTTCTCACCTTGCTGTTGGAGTCCCCTGACTCAGAAGTGCAGGTATGGCACAGGTCAGATTTTCTAACAAGGATAGTGTGACTGTAGGGAGAGCACAAACTACAGAACTGGGAAATGCAAAGGTAGAGGGAGGGGAAAGCTCTGCAGAGAAGCAGAGTGACATGTGAGTGCATCTTGGAGGAACTCAGCTCAGTCAGACAACATCTATTCAAAGCACATGATTTGTTTAGCTCCACAGAGGGTTTATAAAGCCAGCACATATTGTAATACATGCACACAGTTTTTAAACAGCTACTTTTTCTGTGTCTTTTGGACCATCAGATCAGCTGCTGATAGGTCTGCTCATCCTTGTCTTCTTTGATCTTCCCCTCTAAACAATTCTGCTAAGTATTTTAGAAGGAAAAACTTGCAAAGAAATTTTTTCTCATTATTTGGGATGTCTGGGAACTCTTTCTGTTTTATGCTTACCCCAGACATCTTGCATTTGTGCACAGTTAACAGAGTTGCTTCTTGGTTTCAAGTATGCTAATGAAAACTATGAGTCAGATTTGTAAACCTTAAAGTCCACTTGTTCATTCAGTTTGTCTGAGAAGCACAGGATTACTTCCTCCAGTCTTCTCCTTGGCTCAGTTGTAAATGTCAGAAGTAATGGATCCTCTGGAACTGCTTTCTGCAAACTGTATCAGCATCACCTAGTTCTCCTGACATTCATCTTAAAATTTCTTTCTCTGAAGTTCAACCTGCTCCTTCTAATTATACCTCCTAAGTACCACATGTTTTAATTTGTATAATCTTCTCTGGAATTAATGTTTAAATCTTTGGAAAATGATCTCTTGGCATGCTAGGGCAGTGACAACATCCGTCTCCAGTCAACCAGTGTAAATATACAGTGCAGTCCATGTAGATGAGCTAAGGTAGGTGTCAGCTGAGGAGTAGCTGCAGTAGTGCAGGACATTCCCAGATACCAGGGAGCACATGGCTGCTGTTGTAGCAACAGCAGATACAGCATTGTTCTTCCTGAGCCCACTCAGGCTGTTATTAGGTCTGCCTCACAAAATATTTGAAGATGAAAAAGCACTGTATTTTCTTCAGCTCTCAATCTAAGCATTTCTCCAATTTAGTTTGATTCACTTCAGTGTTGTCATCACTGTGACCACCTCTCCTCCTATTTTTTTCCTGTCTCTCCGCAGTATTATAGCTGTGCTGCCCTAAGCAACATAGCAGCCAACACTCAGCACCATGAGGCCATGCTGAGAATTGGTGACAGATTCCTGCTGCGCATGCTCATCTCTCTTCTGTCTTCCTCTGTGGACAAGGTAAAGCTGCAACCCTCTCTTTACATGAAGGTTTAGCATCAGAGTACAGCTATAAAGCTGGGCTTTCAGTTTCAGTCTGGCACACTTCTGCTTATCTACTGCACAGTTGGCTCTATGACATCTTTCCCACAAGGAAAGACACACATTAAAACATAGTAGGTTCTGTGAGTGCAACGTTTGGAGAAAGAAAAGGGAATCATTAAAGCCCTGGACACTACCTTTAGGCGAGGTGCCCTATTTTCTTTAAACTTGAAACTGCATATGAAGTGCTCTGCCCAGGCTCTCACGCTTATGCTACTTCTCCCTTTTTTTCCCTTCCTTGTGATATTCTTAGCTTTGACTACATGGCTTCAAAGAATAACATCTAGAAAATCTTGCTTTGCTGGGAGCCGCTCTTTTAAAAAACTTCAGCAAGGCTCAATTCAGAATTTAAAGGATAAAGCCTTAAATTCTGTGTTGGCTCTCCTAGTTGAAAAAGAAAATAAATGAGACAAATTCAGTCTGTACATTTTCCTATAATTGATTTGACATTCCAAAAATAATCCAAAAACTGAACTCCACTGGCTCTTCCTCATCAACAACTTATCTAGGGGAAGTTCAAACAAACTCATTAAAAAAAAAAGGTTAAAAAAAAAGGCCCAAAATTTGTGCTCTGAAGATAGTGTGATAGCTTGCCAGCACTGTCACATTTATTTTGAGTACAGTAGCCAAGAACACACATTACTGAAACCACTCTTTTTCTCTCTTTTTTCCTTTGGCACAAGAAGGTTTCAAGCCAGGCATGCGTTTGCCTAAGAAATTTGGCTACCAGGGGTAAGTACCATGTTAGAGATAAAAGAACCACACTATTTCTTTTCCTTTCTCTCTCTGGCTTTTGTAATGAGCATGGTGGGTTGGCAACTTTTCCCATTAAAAACAGAGACAGCTTCATTTTTGCATGTTAGTTGGATGCTGCAGGAAGAGGGAGGTTCTGCATGCACTCAACTAAACCTGCCCAAGGCAACAAGAGGTAGTACCCAAAGGGAGGGAGCCAGCACGTATCTTGTATGCACGGGGCCTTTTGCTCCCCTCCACATTTCCCAGTCCTTATAACCCTGATTAGGATAGAACATCTCCTGAAATTGATGCTTGAGTGGGGCCCGCCCTCTCCTAAGGCATGAATCTCTCATTAACTGTAATTTGCTCCCAAGCATTTGTCATCCTCTTAAAAAAAAATCCTATCCTGTTAAGTACCCCAATCCTTTTCTACAACATACTCTGGAGATGAAAGCAGAGGAGCTGCATGTTCAGCACTAGAGCCCTAGGGCTGAGTAAGCTGTTCATCTAGAAATTGTGGAGGCACCTTGCTGTCAAGCAATCGCAGTGATGGTGGGGCAGGGAGTAAAGGCCCTGCTCTTTGCTCCTTGGTGTCTCTGGTCTTCGAGACTTTGAGATTGCTGTCTGCCCTTCTACAGAGTTTCAGGCCAATGAATTGCTCAGAAAATGCCCCTCATTTTTTCTCACAGAGGTTTACACGTAAAATGAAGGGTGTCCAAAGCTACATACCGTTCTCAAACCTGTATTAATTCTTGGCCTAATGAGCCAGACAAAATGAAGTTTAATTTTTATAACGAAATACCGAGCACTGTCCTATACCACCTATTCCCTCTAATGTCCTCACGCTTCATCATCACCTTCTCCACACAGCAGACACACAGGCCGAGCTGGTTGCCAAGGATGTCCTGCCCAGGCTGTGCTCTCTCCTGGTGTCCAGCAGTGAGGATGCGTGTCGTGCAGCTGTTGCTCTGCTCTGGGTGCTGTCCCAGCACCCACATAACCAGGTATGGCAGCTTGCCCCCCGAGAGCCAGAGGGAAAGAACAGTTCTGGCCACTGCCTGCATTCTGTGAGGTGTGCCAGGACGCTCTGTGAGATCTCCCAACCTTTCCCATTCCTGCCCCAAATGATGAGGTTTTGCTACTCCAGCTGCACTGTCTCTACCCAAGGAGACTATCTGTTGTGGTGAGTGGCAAGCTGGGAATCCCATAGTTCATTGGATCACCTGTGAAGAGGCCCTGGGGAGGGAAAAGGTAGAGATGGGTGTCAGATTGCTTGGCTGGGTGGACACCACCCTGCACTCCCTGTGTTCCCCTCGTTCTCCAGATTGTCAGCAGACATTCTTTTTTTTTTTTTAATTAGACTTGAGATAATTTAAAACTCCATCAATGTTTAGCTAATTCAATAGAACTTTCCTGTGACACTTTGTGTCCTCAGGTACAGAATGGTTTCTTTGCCCATGTTCAAAGCAAACGCTACCATTCAGCTGTGTAATGCCATGCAAACACATGAAGAACTCTGGCTAAAAATAAACTGCAGCAAACAACCAACACAAGCACGCCTGCTGTACTTTCATCCTCCACATGAAGCACCAAATTGCTAAGTAGTGGCAGACATTATTATTACCATTTTTAAACACGCTTTGCCATTCGAGTGATAAAGTCATCCTTAGGAACACAGATATGAAATGTTTTTGTTAGGTGTCTTAAGCTAACAATAATCTCATGGGGGGGAGCTGGAGTTTGGGCAGATAAAGGAAAAAAAAGAAAGCAAGGACCTTTCTTGTCACACTACTGTAAGCAGCAGTGACAGCCTCAGTGACAACAGCTGGGCCCAGGTGGGGCTGAGACTTGGAATTTCCCCAGGGCACTGGAGACCTGGTGCCTCACATCCTGTCGCATGTACATGGCACAGTATAAAATGAATTGTGCCTCCTCTAACTCAGGGACATGATGGAAAAATTGGGAAAGCTTCATGCCCATGGAGCCACAATCAGAGAAGCGAGTTTTCCAAAGGTTTTGTGCAGGCCACATTAGCACCACGTGTCCTCTTGGCATGTCGAGCTGTCTGCTGCAACTGAATGCAATTTGATCTTAGCAAGCCTACTGCTGAAATATTGCTGGGGGTGATTGCACAGCAAAAATCCAATCACATCTACCGTTTTTTTGCAGTGAGCAAGCAGGGCTGTCCCCAGGGAGCGAGGGATCCACGTGCTCTGAGGAGGGGCTGACCTCACTCTCCCCAGGCCTCCCCATCTCTGTGGCCTGGATTTTCAAGGCCTTTAAAGGTTTCTTTCACTCACCCAGGCTGAATTCTGAGCGTCTGAAAGAGGGACTTCTCCATGGGAACAGCTGTTAGGAAACAAACCACCACACAAAGCTAACCTTTACCACTGAGTCAAGTGATGCTTGAATTACTGCTAATGCTGCCAAGGATACAATAGGGCAGGATTCATCTGCCCTTTCATTACCATGAATTAAACCCTCAGGAATGCTTCATACTAGCTCCCGTCCCTTCCTTCTGGTCACTGTCCTGGCTGCTGACAGTGGTTCCCGGGGAGCACTGAACAACTTCTCTCTTACGGGGGAATTTTATTCAGTTCTCCAAAGGACAACCCAGCCCTAAAATTCTAAGGAAAGAGTCAGTGTCTGTGGGAAGTGGCCTTTAAAGTCACATTTCTTTGACAAGGATGTGTCAGCTCCAGGTGATGCTGCTGACTTTCCATTCCAGGCACAAAGAGCTTTGCTTTTCCATCGAGCTGCCTGATGAACACAATAATATTCATCTTGACAAGCACTGTCTACCCAAGGATTTTGAGCACAGCATTGCAATTCTGAGCACAGTTCCTGCTGGAATGCTTTTCCTTACTCTTTTATTTTGAACCTGAGGAGAAGTTTGGTCAGTACTCACTTGAACCACCAAACCACTTGTACTCAGAGTTCTCTCCTGAGCCTCTCATACTGTGCAGGACCAAGCCAACTAAGTCTGGATCCCAGCTGCATGCCTGCCAAGGAGGCTCAGCAGAATTCAGAGTACTGTCACTTGCTGGCATAAGTCTAAATAGATGGAAGAGGCTTGGCAGGAAAGTCATTACATATTGGAAAGTTCATTTAGAGTCTATAGACAATTTCCTCCTCTCGTGCTGTAGCAAATTAAATAAGGATACTACAGTCAATAGGATAACATAGAAAAGAGGACATACAGTCCAAAAGCACAGAAAACATTAACAGTAACTGAAATGGATGATCTAAAATTATGTGATTTCTGCTTTTAAGGACAAGTAAAAACAGAGTTAGAGAAAGTTTACAGCCACACCTACATACAGGATTCTTTAATGCTCTGAATTTTGCCTTTTCCATCTACTTCCATGTCTTATCTTAATACTGCTGGTTATGACAGTGCTTAAAATAAACAGAAGTGAAGATGTCAGGTGACATGAAGAAAAAAAAACAAATATATCACAGAATCATAGGGATTGGAAGGGACCTCTGAGATCACACAACCTGCTAAAGCAGGTTCCCTACAGTAGGTTACACAGGTGGGTGTCCAGGTGGGTTTTGAATATCTCCAGAGATGGAAACTCTGCAACAGGAGAGCCCGTTCCAGTCACCCTCTGTCACCTTTGCAGTGAAGTTCTTCATCATGTTAGTATGGAACTTCCTGTGCTCCAGTTTGTGCCCACTGCCCTTCGTTCTGTCACTGCACTCTACTGAAAAGAGTCTGGCTTCATTCACTTGACTTCTGCCCATTAGATATTTATGAGCATCGACAAGATTCCCCCAAAGTCTTCTCCAGGCTGAGCAGTCCCAGGTCTCTCAGCCTTTCCTAATAAGGGAGTTACTCCAGGCCTCTAATAGACATATTTTGTCATTTAACCCAAGCGAAAGAAAGATGCATGTTAAACTTTTAAAAACTTCCTTTTGTGCTTCTTCAGTGGTCCTGAAGCAGATTTTCAAGTTCAGAATTATCCTTTTTTTTTTTTTTTTTTCTCCAATTATATATAGGACCAGTTATTTGTTTTACACCAAACACACAAAAGTGTCTCAATTTCTAAGTAACACAAATAAAATAGTCTGCTACACAAGAATCACATAAAGAACAGACAAAGGAAAAGGTTTCCCAAGAGGAAATCTTACATTGCTTTCAACTGTAGACCTAACCCGAATACTGCTGAGGAACCTACCTGGCTGGTGTTGCAAACCCATTTGATATGGGAGAAAAACTACTTTCAGGGGGAAAATATAAAATTTCTCTAAAATATCCGTCAGAGAATAGAGAAACGTGTACTGTCACAGAAGATGCTGTGTCAGAGCACTTTACCGATCACAAGTTGGCCTAAATGTACAGTCCATTACTGTTGGCTAAGCTGCTGGGATACTTAAAGACACAGTGCTGCTGCTGTTGCATCTCCATAATTTTCCCTTGCCAGACAGTAGGTCATATTTTGAGAGAAAAGGCACTGGTCACAACCACTTAGCTGTTGGCTTAAATGAACCAAGTAATGCTTTTCTTGCAGAGCTAAGTCCAACCTACTTACTGTTTGCTGCTAAGTTTCATCGCTGTGCTTGGCATTGTCTGTGTGGGATGTAATGGAAATGCTGGTTGCTTTTCTCAGGATGCTCTGGTGTGCACTGAGCTACTGCAGAGCCTGGGGATGCTCCTGTCAGTGCACACAACAGACCCTGTGATTGCTGGCCATGCTGCTTGCATCATCAAAAACCTGAACCTTTCCAAGAACAGACAGGTGAGTACCATTTAGGTTTTTTTTTACTGAATTATACCCGAAGAGGTTGCAGTTACACTTACAAAGAATCAGCACTACCCACAGAAAGATTTTCTTGTTATGATAAAATATACACTAAGTATAATTTGCACGAAAATGTGTTTATGAATAAAAGGACCTCATGTGTCATAACAAAAGTTATCTTTCCATATTTTTCCAACACAATGCAAACATGCTAAAGAAAACAAGAAATGTCTGATTTTCCTGTGAGTGATATGCTTACTTAATTTGAGTGACCACATCGTAGGGACAAAACATATTTTGAACAAAGATCATTCAAACTAATTTAAGGAACCATCCAGGAGAACCCCTGGTTGGTTAGAAACTGAATCCTGATTTTCTAGCTGTCACTCTTCATATACCTTTAGTTACCTGTTTACAGTATTCAGAACTGATATAATTTCACTCACTCCCAGTACGTGTTGTGCCAAGATGCTATCAAGGCTTCCATTGCTGAATTTGCTTCTAGTGAAATCCATACCTACAGATGCACTTCCCTGCTCATTTTCCAATTACAGCTAGTTGCAGAGACTGCTTTGCTTACATGTCTCCAGTGTCTGAAACAAAATCTTTTCTACATGTGATTTACCCGATTTCAGGTTTAGGGACATTTTGTCCTTTCTTTTTTTGTACTGATAATTCTCATTCTTGCAGTTCTTGTGTTCTGCTGAGTTTTGTCCAGATTTGGTTAGGCTGAAGTACCAAACCATAGTACAAAATAAAGTTGTCCCTACTGCAAAGACTGTTCTAGCAATCCTTCGCCTGCTTTCCCATGATATAACAGAGCACTCAGTGCAACAGGAAGAGATTTAAACCATCCAAGAGGAAAACTTTGCTATAAAACTATGAACCTAACTAATAATGAGCAATGGGACAAACCTTTCAGCACGTCTTAAGCAGGGATTGGAAATGTCAGTTTCCAATAAAGCTTTTCACTTACATTAACAAAGATAGGAATTAAAATAGTTCTTACAGTTGTGAAATCAATTTTTGCAAGGAAATGCACTTCTTCAAACTCAAGGCCCACAATAAGAGTGAAAATGGACCATGCTTTCAAAAGCTGCTTTAAAAAACTACCACATTTATCAGTTAGGTTCGGTGACTTTATTCTGTCCTTGGCAGGGAGCTGGTTCATCTTCAGGAAAGCACTGCAGGGTGCCACGTAATGTATTTAGCACTCACTTCAGAAGTGAACTCACAGAAATGAATAGGAGCGCCAGGCTTCCAAGGTCAATTCTAAGACACATAAGAGTCCTTGTCACAAGAGGGGAAAAAAGCAGTGGTTTTGTGTCAGCAGGACACAGGCTGTAGCAGCTTTAAAGGCAGCAGTCTTGAAGCCAGCTTCAGCTGCTAAGCAGCAAGTTAAAAATTTGCAATATAAAATTAGAATACAAAAGAAGATATTCTTTTTGTTGATGGTCATCTGAGCTCCCTCATGGAGTCATAAGCAGGTCGTATCTTTAGGATTTTCCTATGAGCTGGAGATGCAACTTCCCTAATTAAGTCTGGTGATTTGCTCAGAATTCATTCCGTGGTCTCAAGGGCTTTTTGTCCAGGTTTGCACAGGCTCAACCTCCTCTGTTTTCAACTTGCTATCTAAAACATAAACTCCAGTGCAGAGATACCCATGACGTTTGGGGCATAGCAGATGTAAACTAAAAAATAAGGGATAAACAGAAACGTATAATATGTAACAACTCTGCAGAAACAAAACTCACCTTTGCTTGTCACATTCCCTCATCAGATCAGAGCATTTCAACACCAGAAAGCTTTCAAAGCCTCAGATGCAAAGAAAATGATAAACTTCCACATGCTTAGCTCTGGAGCACTCGTTAATTTGCTGCAAGTCTTTAGCAAATGATAGCCTGACTGTAATATACAGCCTGACACACTGGTAATAGGTTGAAGAAATCCTTAAGCTCCAAAGTGATCTGTGATCATGAAAACATTCCATAGACAGTGCAGGCCCTGGGAAACACTTGAAATCAGGTGATCTCTGGCTGTGGTCCCTGGGTGTGCTCTGCCCACAGCAGAGGAGGCTGAGGGGAGGCCTCGTAATGGCTGCAGCTCTTCACAGAGCAGAGGGACAGCACTGATCTCTGCTCTCTGTGACAGCAACAGGGCTCAAGGGAACAGCATGGAGCTGTGTCAGGGGAGGGCTGGAGTGGAGGTTAGGGAAAGGTTCTTCACCAGAAGGTGCTGGGCATGGAACAGGCTGCTCAGGGCATTGGGCACAGCCCCAAACTGCTGGAGTTCAAGGGTGATTAGATACATGGTTTAGATTTTGAATGGTGCTGTGTGGAGCCAGGAGCGAGACTCAATGATCCTTGTGGGTCCCCCCCAGGATATTCTGTAAATCTATGGTTTGTCACTTGGCTGCATTAGAGCTGGGGGAAGAGACATTGGCATTATCATTGTCTTATTCCTCAGTATTGCAAAGAGATACTAAGTATTTCTAAAGCACTTGGACACCATCAAAATACGATGGAAGTGCTGAATGTTTATCTTTTTCTCATTGCAGAGAATCATTGAGAGCCCATGTGTTGAAGGTCTCCTCCAGACCATGCTTTCTATTGACATTGAAGAAAACTCTCTTCATTATGTGACATCTTGCCTTGCTGAGCTGGCAAAGCAAGGTAGGGAAATAGCTTCACCATAAATGGCTTCTTCTGAGAAGGGCACACATCCTTTGTTAATTGTAATGGGAGTTGAAGCCGAGATCTTTCTTTTAAATTTACTGGGAGTTTTGCCATCATATGCAAGGAGAAAAAGATCCAACTTACCAGTTGGTGACACTGGCTCCATTATTTGCATTTTTTTTCTGTTGAACTGCTTAATTATTATTTTGCTTAAAACGTTTTGTGCCAAACTTCACTGCCATACATACATACTGTTATCTGTAACGTCACCCAATTTCTCAGCTGAATGCATTTCACAATGCCAGAAGTTAATCTAAAAGGATAAAGAGACTAAAATACCAACTGTGTTTATCTCCTTGAATTTATTGCACATGGATTCTATAAGAGATCTCAAATTACCATCCCTCAACAAACAGCTGTCCTCATGACACAGAGGATAAGTATAAACTTCCCTATCTCACTCTGGGACTGGATATCATCTGTCAAACATTTCCTCTCTTGTAACTGCCATGCAACTGATGACATGCCTCATTTAGTTCCACAAGAGGTGCTCAGCAGCTGCGGGACAGAAACAACTAGGCCAGAGTGGATCTTGAGTTTAAAAGGATGCGTCCTTTCAGAGCACAAACCCAATGATATAAAAATCCAACAGGCTTTCTATGAATCGAATCCATATACCCTACTGAGAGCATAACTTCAAGACATGGCCATATTTTACAACTTGGAAATACTTATTTGCAAAAGTTCAGCACTTATTTCGTTTCTTCAATTCTCTAAAAGATTTCCTACTTAGACATATGGGTTCTGGCAGATTAGTCACACTCTTTTTTAGGGCACTGGATTTTCTATTTTCAGACTACTCTCCCCCCTTTTTGCCTTCTAGAAGGAGGCACATTATGCATGGTCAAATGGATGAATGAACCCTTGACAAAGCGCTTGGTAAGACTGGCTGGCCAACGGGAACATACCGAGACATCCTTTCAAGCTGCCTCCATCATCCAGCACATGATAGATCACGGTAACTGTCACACAGCATTAACTGTGCTTTCAAAGGCACTTATGGTTGTCTGAAGTGAAACGAGTCTTTTTCCAAAGGAGTTAATTGACAGGTGCTGAACAACCTTTAACATTCCTCCATCATCCTCCATCTGGTTTCAACCAATTCATTAGCACAAAAGAGCCTCCAGTCACCCTTGAAATACACACTTAGCCATGAAAATAGACCTTAGCCAAAGAGGGTCTGGGTGAGGTGTTTGCTGCCCTCTTTAAGCACTTCTATTCTGCAGAGCTAGTTTCTAAGCCAATTCTGAGGTCCTTAAAGAGAGGTTTAAGTAGAAAGGTGGGATGGTGTAAAATACTCCTTACTGAAGAAGTGAGAAAACATTGCAGACAAGAGGCATTGCTGCATCTTTGTTTGATTCTCTCTGCCAGCACATATACAATATGATGGCATCCCCTCATACTGGAACAGAGGCTGGAAGGGGCAATTGCAAGGGCATGGATAGTTGTTGTAATGCTATAATAGGATGATGACAGCAGGGTGGCTACAGCAAATAAGAAGAAACTCAAATACAGCAGCCACAGATATAGAAATTCTAGACATGTACTATTTCTCTCAGAGAGTGGTCAGGCACTGGAATGGCTGCCCAGGGAGGTGGTGGAGTTGCTGTCCCTGGCAGTGTTCAAGAGGCATCTGGATGACGTGCTGCGTGATATGGTTTAGTGCTTGTGGTGGCAATGGTGATGAGGAGACAGTTGGACTAGATGATCTTATAGGTTGTTTCCAACCTTGTGATTCTACAATTCTATAATTCTATGAAATGAAGGAAAAGAGCTGCCTACCTTCGGAAAGCGTCAGGTAGGCAGGGATCTCCAACAAGAGATGCTCTCACCTCCACTGCCAACCCTTCAGCAAGGTCTGGGAAGGGGTAGATCCTGGCTTCACCCCTTCTGGTCACTCAGGTGCATTGCATTCACCTGAACTTACCTGGGTTGGCCCTGCCTTCCCACCAGGTGCTCAATTACTGCTTCAGGTCATGACTTAGCATTTCCACTACACTTGTGTTCCAAACTTTTAGATCAATTCCTCTGCCCAACCAGCAAGAGGAAGATGAAACAGGATCATCAGGAAGGTGAACCAAACCCTGCTGTTTTAATTCTTGAATAGATTAGCAGGAACAATAAAGTGTCTTTTTAGAAGGTAGCCTATGTTTTAAATTTCAGTTACAGATAATGAAGAGAGCATAATTTTAATGAGCAGAAGACAAGTACTTTTATGACCACTTACTCTGTGCAGCTGAGCATTTCTTAGATCTGCAAGAAAAGATGTTCAGAGCAAAGCAGTGATGGAGTCCAGCAGCAGCATGCTGCATTGGTCAGTGTGAAAAGCTGATCAGCATATGTGTCAGCACGTGTAGCAAACAAGGACAGGCTCCCTGGCAGAGCTGCCCCCTCTGCAGAAATCCCACACATCAATTCCATGCAGAACCAGTGCTACCATTAATGGCTGCAGGTGGAAGCCCTTTGCCATTCTCTGCAGTGACACAGGTTGTAACTGAAGGCAGATCTGTCATTAACAATCTGAAGCGTTGTTACATTAGACAGCTATGGAAGTGTTTTAAAAGCTCCTGCTGATCTCCAGTTATTCTTCTATTTATGCAGAAAAGATGATGCTTTTGTTGAAGTGTCACATCATTGAGATTCAGGCCTACCTCAGGAATTTTCTTATCCACCAAGAGGTTCGCTTCCAGCAGCTGGCCATTTCCACATTCTGCAGACTGCAGGCAGGTACGTCTTCAACGCCAGGCCAAACCTCTGGGGCACTGCCTGCTCCCATCAGCAGCAAAGGCAAATCTTTGTCACAGGCTGTCACCTACACCCCTGAACTGACAGCTCTGCTCGCCTAAGCAAGCAGAAGAAGCCCAAGGACAGCTGCTACCTTAACTATTTTATCTGTTTTAAAACAAGAAAAAATATCTTAGAATAAATGCAGATACACTTTATTTATTTTGAACTTTTAGATCAGCAGGAAACAGGACTTGGGGTATAGATGTTTTTTTCCAATATGAGGATCCATGGTACTCAGCCTAAAAGCTTTTCAAATTTAAAATGTGAATTTATTTTGATTAAGCAAGCACAAGCAGATCACATGGATGGCAAAAGCTGGAAAGCTGCGTATTTTCCATACTAAAATTCTGCTCCTTAATATATTTCTCTCTTTGGTTCTGTTGCTTTCGAATCATTTTTTAAGTACAAGTTGAGTACAGATGAGAAATGCAATATGATAATAAATTATAATGATAATAAATATATAGTGTGTATCTCTACAAATACAGAGCCAGAGCTCTGACACATCTTTGTGTATATCTGCTGTACAGAATCAGTACAGAAGAGTGAATTTGCCAACTGAAACAGCTTTCGCCATTCTGGATCTGAAGTTAGCAGCAAACATTCTTGAATGGTTGTAGGGATGAAAACTGAATTAGTGTCCATCTGCTTGGTGTGGCAGAAAGATATTGTTCCACTTTCTGTATACTTATTTTATACTGTAGTAAGAAAGTTACGTTATCTAACCTAAAATAGAAGCATTCTAAGCACATGCATTAAAATGCAGGGGAAAACATCTGAAGAGGGCAGTTGCTGCAGCTTGTCTAACACTCGTGTTTTGTCTTCAGATCCAGAATTCTCATTAGCATTCAGGAAAAACCAAATGGCCAAACTCCTCGAGCAAGTCCGTCAACAGACAGAAGAAACTCAAGAGCTCCTTAGGGCAGCTATTTGCCATGCAGATAGTTAATATTTAAACCAGATAGCTTAAAAAACTTACCAGATCCAAGAGCCTGATCTTTTAGAGATGACTGTCTTCATTGGTTCCTGTAGCTTAACTGCTCCTGTTACTTGCAATTTCCTGCTATGAACATGGTGCACAGCACCTTTATAAAGTAGAGATGTTCCAATAACAAGAATGGGACCAGATCAAAAAGCAAATGCAATATAACAGCTCCCATGAAAGACTTGTGAAATGTGTATATGAAGACAGAAATCTATTTTCTGCAAATGGCACATTATTTCCATAGGTACTTGCAAAAGGGAAAGTGAACAAATTCGACAAAATTACACATCAATGTTATACTCTGTTAATTCATTTTGAAAGAAGTTAGAGGACCGATACATGTAGTAGTATGCTTAGCTCTAAATTCATCTGTCTTGAATTCATGATGTGTATACAGGTTCAGACTGCTCATGCCTTCCCTATTCTCCAGGGGGCAGTGAATCTGTCTCATGGATCTTCTTGCCAATCAAAACAGTATTTTTCAGAAGAAAAAAAAAACAAAACCACAAAACAAACAAACAAAAAAAAAACACATACCAAAATCCTTATACTTGTGGTTGTGGCGCATTTTTTTTTTTTTTTTTTTTTTTTAAATATATTTTTAATGTTTTAATTTCTAGGAGAAAGCTAACCTATTAATAGTTGTCTACTACTACTACTAATTCAGTAGTAATCTATTTCCTCCTTTAAAACATACACTTCTTTTTTTAAATTCAGGAAGCCGGTTGAAGCTTCTTGTTAGACTGGCTGGAATACTGTAGTTTTACAACAATAGAATTGGCAAATCTCTGCTCCCAGATTGCACAGTTTCTTTTAAAAGAAACTGTCTTTAAAAATAAAAAAAAAAATAAGTACAGCTTTAGGGTTGCTACTGGCTACAAACATGGAATACAAATTGAGTGAGATGTAGGAAAACATCTGCCAACTAAGATGTCACTATAACATTTTACTTTGGCCCAAATCTTTAAGCTGAGCTTAGGAGCATGGGGAGACATTTGGGTAAAGTTTCATTTCAGCAATTGCAAATTCTCTCCAATTATAAGGTCTAAAAACATACAAACAAACCCAGCCCCAAACAGGTAAAAGCTTCTCTACAGCACAGCAAAAAGACTAGTTAAAGAACAGATAGCTGTTAGATAAAGCAGTATGGAATTTTCAATACTCATGTGTAGCAGACAGGAAATTTCTTTAGAAACATCACATGAAAGACCCATGCACCTAATGATGCATGTTGGTGCAGTTGGGTTCTTAGAACAGAGGACCAAAAGGAGCTGACTGATGCAGATAGGGATGAAAGAAGGAGATCTCCAACTTTAGGCCACCTCCTTGGATGATTTTAGATCATTTTCTAAACAGAAAACCAGTGCAACTTTTTATGACCACTGTGGTATAAGTGAAGACTTTGGAGCGTCTTCTCTCTGTTTTTCTTAGCTATTTAATTGCAAACTTTACTTCAACATCTTTGCAAGAAGCATAGTTGTTGTGAAAGGTCACTCACTACTCCATACCTTCAGAAAAACTAATTTCTACAACTACTGATTCTACCTCTCAGAATGGTTCCAAACATACAAATAACAAAACAGATGCAACAGCAGGCAAAAAAGCTGGCATTCATTTTATACTGCACTTATTACTGATAACAATAGTCAAATCTTCCAGCATTTAAAGAAGGGGGTTAAACCCAAGATTTAATTTTTTTATTTTTTTTCTCATATTTTTGGGCTTTCACACCTACATTTATACCCACTCTGTGGACTTCAGTTTGCAGCTGGGTCCTTGAAAGAGAACATTTGTTTTCCCCTTTTATTTGAAGCAAACCTGGAATGAATATAATTATACATTGTTTTATTTGCAGTCCAGTGCAAAAACCACATGGAAAATGAAGTAAGCTCTTCATCTTTGTGCTTTGAACAGCAAAGTGAGTGTTCTGATGTCTCATAAAAATAGTCGAGATCAATACAGCTTATGCCTGAGCCTAAATGAATCCTTGGACCAAAAAAAATGAAGCTAAATCTTACTGGCAACATCTTTGTTGTGTTCATAGCTGTAAGTAATCCTGTACGGATTTTTCAGTAAAGAGATCAGAGGAAAACTAAAAACTAAAGAGGTTTTACGCATACCAGGAACATGAAGAAGAGTTTTCCACCACAGACTGACTCCCGCTTCAAGTATGCAAGAAAATCCAAGTAGAAATAGAAATATTTCAAACAAGTTTTATTTGGTACTCACATGCTATAAAGGTTTAAAGGAAAACTACATATTTTGGACACTTTAAAATATTGTGGCTATGTACATGGAAAATTAAAGAAAGTGAGTATGGAACCCAATTAATTTTACTGTGTCACGAACTATTATTGAAAGCATTCTGACTGAATAGACTGAATAGCTTCCATGCATTCTGGCAGATAAGTCTCTTTTTCTTTGCTTTTCCATTGCTTTTATCCCATCTCCTGTGTAGGATGAACGCTTGGCAGCAGCAGAAAGTCATTTCTTCAAGAACTCTTCCGCTTTTGTCTCAGAAGATTTCTTCTGCAAGCACAGACTTTCTGCACAGCTTCCTATAAGCCTAGCTCAGTGCTCACTAAAGGCAGGTGCAGGAATCTGAGTGGCCATTCTCTGTCAGCACGAACCGAAACCCCGTAAACCCCATTTCCACTGCTATGGATCTACTCAGGGACTTCAACAAACAACGCATGAAGCCCCGGTTGATGTTTCCAACTCAAATACCCCGTGAGTTCTGCCTGCAACAGCACGGTTTATCACAGCATAGAAAGGTGCACAATGTTACTGTTCTGCTCAACAACAACTGAAAGTGAGGGATGGCATAATGATGGTAGAAATCAGCATGAAACTAAAGAGAAAGCAACCTGCATTGCTCCTCTTATCACTCAAACTGTAGTGCATTATAAAAATCACACGTTACATACAAAGCACAAACAATGACCATTTTCCATTTGCTCTGAAACGAGCAAAACCAAAAAATTCCCCAAACCTGCTTTATCATCAAAAAAATCAACTATTTCAGGTTTCACACAGTCTTCAATCGTCTGATAAGGCAAAGGAAAAGTCTTCCATCATTGGGAACAGCAGCAATTTACAGGACTCAGAACAAGGTTACTCCCTGTGCACATCTTTTATAGTACTGTGAACGTGAATGTAACAAAAAAATAATCAAGTTTGCAGTACCATTTTATTACATTTTTCTAATTTATTCAATTAAACAATTTATTTCTGTACTGAACAAAATTCATAAATACATCATCTAGGAGAACAATAGGTTTTCCTCTTGTCCATGAAAAAATAATGCTTTCAAATTTTCACATTTTAAAACCTGCCTCGTTTTGTGTTTTTAGAGAAAAAATGTGAGAAGATCATAGTGACATCTCAATTTACAGAACGTCCCTGTAGGAATTACATTTACAAGAACCTGATACAGAAGCCGATGCTCTGCCCCCATAATTAGAGTTCTCTGCAATAATATTTAAACCAACAGGTTTAAATAGAACACCTCATTAACTCTACTCGTAGAGCAATGAGGTATTTAATTTTCAAGTATCAGAACCACAAAGCGTAAAAGATTCTTTGCCAATTTTACAATTATGCCTTTTAAACCAACACCCACCTGAAAAAAGAAGAAAAAAAACAGAGAAAGCCCCACTACCCGAATCAGCCCATTGCTTTCAGATTCCAGTGTCTTGTGTTCTCAGGAATGCAGAAATATCCATTTACTAACAGAAAAAGCTCATTGGAAAAAGCTGTATTAAGTAATGCATGTGAAGCATGATTTTTCTAGTGATGAAAACTATTAGAAAGGCGATCCAAGTCTATGTCCATCATTTCTTCTGCTGGTTTTACTAAAGTCCTTCCAAAAAGAAAAAAGATGTTCAAGAAATCTTTAAAAAACCTGGAGAGAAAAATAAAACACTCCTTCATTGCATGGAAGAAACTCCCACTGACTGCAGAGACGTTTTTGTCACCTTTGGTTCTTCAGAAGAAATAATCAGATCACTTCTACAACAGAAGGCATCGGAAATGACAGGTCAGCAAAGAGTAGGAATGCTTAATTCAGAATGCACTTAAGCAAATATTTTATTGAAAGATGATTTTTTCTTATATTTTCTAGGCAAGAGAAGGTAAATTAGGGTTGCCCAATTTAATTTCTTATGCTAATAACTGTTTACCCACCATCTTTTAAAAGCTACAATGCAATTCAGAAAAAATCTGCTGTGCTGTAAACCACCACTCAGTATTCATGGCAGCAAGAACTTGATGAGGGCAGTCATTCAGAATTTGACATAAAAGGCAGCTACCAGCTCCCTTTCAGTGCATGCATTTCAGATGTTACATCTGCAGAACTGGAACATGATTGCAGATCATAAACTAAGAACAACAGCTGTCACTGTTATCATTTCCACTTGAAAGCACAGGGCAAATGTTTTCAAGCAACTCCTAAAGGCAAACAGCACAGTGTAACTGAGAACACCTCTCAAATAAAAGATGAGGACTCATCATAATTCACACAGCATCTGCATGCTTGGTATACATAGCTTTACAAACAGAAGATTTGCTCCTCTCCACAAAGAATTTTGGGTTTAAAATGCTCGAATTATTCAACCTGTGTCAAGGAGAAGCTCTAGATCCACATCACCAACTGTAGTGAACTAAGGCAAACTTACCTGCTGTTTGATGTGTTTGAACACTGTCTACCTGAGGCAAAAGAGTCCCCTTATCTTCAAAAGCTAAAATTGGATTCAGAGGAATTCCGGGACTGTCGCTTCCATCGTTGTTCAGGGCATCCAGGCGGGATGGTTTAGAACTAATAGGTAGATTTATGATCTCTTCGAAGTTATCGTTCTGTGCAGACATTCCATTTTCCTCTGTATTTTTCTCTGGGTTGAGATTGCTGGGAGAGAAACGTAAGTATTTCATCATACACTTAATTCAGAACACAAGAATAGTCCTACTTAAAGCAATATCACAAATTGAAACTTGCATTAATCCACAGCATTCTTTTAGCCAGTGAAATCATGACTACCACGGCAGATGAGCTGTTGTTACAGCAAGTAGTGGGATTTGTGGCCTTTCTTGGCTTTCATAAGCACTGCCATATTTGAGTGCTGAGGTACCCTTCCTCATACTGCAAATCAGTCTAACTGCTCTCAGACGAGGGCACTGTCATTTTTGTTACTCTGGATCACCACCTGCCTCCAGTTTTTGAGCAGCCTCTTCTACCTGCCACTCACCCAGAGAAAAAAACTCCTGTACCAATTCAGCTCTCTTTTTCATCCCTCTCAGCTAGGCCTTATTTTCCAGGCACAGCTTGACTCTTTCGTGCAATGACCAGCCCAGACCAAAAGCAGCACCTCCTGGCATCCCTCACATCTCCCCAACTCACAGGGAATGCTCTCCAGGTGCACCTACACTTCTGAGAAAACATATCACCTTGTGTCAGCTCTGACATCTCTCCTGACTCTTTTATTAGCTGCTGTATTGTCAAATCCTGCTGTCTTTTCATGCAGCGCGTGCTGTCTTACCACAG